ATTTTTTTTCTCATCATTTTGAAGGTGGTATTTCCCTTTTTTCAGCTTCCATAGGTGCTCTTTAGAAGCCAGCTTTTAGTCTACCTGCTGTTCCTTTGTGAGCAATTTCTCTTTTCTTCCTGGCAGCATTTAGATCTTTGGCATGAGGTAGTTTCCCTCTGATGAAGGTATTGTGCAGGTTTGTTTTGTTGAGGGGTACTGGGGATTGAACTCAGAGGCACTTGACAACTAAGCCACATCCCCAGCCCTATTTTGTATTTTATTTAGAGACAGGGTCTCACTGAGTTGCTTAGCACCTTGCCGTTGCCGAGGCTGGCTTTGAACTCATGATCTTTCTGTTTCAGACTCCCAAACTGCTGGGATTACAGGCATGCACCACTGCACCTGGCACCCGTGCAGGTTTTTAAAGTGTCCTCCTTGCAATTTGTCATGCTTCATGAAGCTGTGGATTCATGTCTTTCCTATCACAGAAAAGATCTCAGCAATAATTCTTTTGAGTGTTAGTGTCCATTTTTATCTTAGTTATCTCCTGGAATTCTGATTAGGTACACTTGTCTTCTTACTTTATCCTTCATATCTCTTTCTCTCTCTCTCTCCTTTTTTTTTTTTTTTTTTTTTTTTTTTGTGATACTGGGAATTGAACCCAGGGCCTCACATGTTAGGCAAGCACTCTCCCACTGAGCTATATCCCCAGCCCTTTTTGTTTTATCTCAGACATGTTTCATTGCAGCCAGCCACATGTCTTTTTCTTGTTATCTATTCTTTTGTCTCTCTGTGATTCTTTCTTGGTAATCCCTTCAGATTTATTTTCTAGTTTCCTAATTCTCTCTTCAGTAGATTAATATCTAATCTTCTCTTTAGGATCAGTTTCTATATTTTCTCATTTCCAAAAATTCTATTCTGTCTTAGGACATGTCAGGAAAAATTTGCAAGAAGAAATTGATGCCTTAAAATTCAGACTGAAATCACTTCATTGGGTGTTAGCAGATTTGAAAGTTTAGTTATATGCAAATTTTGGGAGCAGTATAAACCTTGAATGTAATGAAAGTTAAACATTTTATAATACTTTAAAAAATATGTTTAACAGGGCCTGGGGGTATAGCTCAGTAGTAGAGTGCTTGTCTGATATTTGTAAGATCATGGGTTCAATCCTTAGCCCCAAAAAAGAAAATTGCTTAATAAACTTAAATATTGTTTAAAATTAAAAGTTTCATTTTGTTCTTTTTTAACTCTACTAGTTATTTTTGAGAGAATTTTATTCATTTCTCATGTTTTGATTCCCTTTGTTAATCTAAAAAAGGAGTCAAATAATCAGAGATTCTCCAAAGAAGAATGACTTTTGGAGGGGGAGAATGATAGAGTGCTATAAGGGAATACACATACCATAGTAAACCATGGACATACTTGGAGAGATGGAAGTTGGGATAGGGCTGGTAGCTCAATGGTAGAACACTTGTGAAGTTCCTGGGTTTGTTTCCCATGCACTGCAAAAGCAAACACAAAACAAAATAAATCAGGAAGTTGAGGCAAAGGGAAGGTTGTTTTGTTTGTGTGTGTTGGGGCGGGGTGCAGTGCCTCCCTTGTGCTAGAGATTGAACCCCAGGTGCCTCCTTCTTGCTAAGCATGTGCTTTACCCCCAGTCTGCTTTTACTCTGGAATATGAGCAAATTCTCTCTTGGAAAAAGATAAGATCTTGATCCTGGAATGTAAAAACTTGGTTCTGAGAAAGAAAGATTTTATCACCCTTTGAGTGGGAACAGATGGCTTGGGTGGGTAGGTTCCAGGTCTTCCTCCCCTAGAATTTGAAGAGCAAAGGGCTGTAGAAGAAAAGGAAACATCTCAGTTTCCTACCTCAGCACAACAGGGAGATGTACAGAGAGGACTGTCTATCAGCAACAGTCTGCAGGTGCCCAGTAAGAATCTTGGTTCTTGCTTATAATCCTTAGATTCCTGCTTTGAGTCTGGTCCCTGGCAGTTATTCAAAAGGAAGTTTCTTGCTTTCTCAGGCAGTTATTCAAAAGGAGTCTTAAACTGCCCATCACCTTCATGTATTTGGCAGGAGGATTTCTAGATATTTAGTCTATTATATTGCCAAAAATAGAAGCCTCTGTCTTGTTTAGGGCTAAAATACAGTACAACAGGTATATAGAACTTGGAATTAGGGAACCTGGGCTTAAGTTTATGTTTCTTTAAAGCTATAAAGGCTAGTTGTGAGCAAATCATTAATCTCTCATAGTCTCGTAATCTTACTTTGCTCATCTGTTGTAGTGTAGATACTGATAGTACTTATCTCAAAAGGTTCTGAGAATCAGGACCGGGCACCCTGAACACTCACTGCAGTGCCTTTTACACAGTAGGTCTCAGTGGATGCTGCTCCGTGTATGATTAACGTTGCTCTAGCACTCACTGGATGTAGACATAAATACAGGCACTTTGTTAATAGCAATAATTTCCTCAAACCTTGATGCCTTCCAGGACCATGTCCTTGCTGAGCTCTGGTGGTGACAGGACAAATGCAAGGCCTAAAGAAGCTCACTCTGAGATGGGCAAGAGAGTGGGAAAAACCTACGACAACTATAGCACAGTGTGAGCCCTATTCCAGGAATGACAGTCACCCCAGTGGATGCAGGGCAGGGTCAGTCAGCAGAAGACTCTGCATGGAGGAAATGGTACTTTCTCTGGCCCTTTGCTAAATAAGAGCCAGGAAGTTAAGGGGAAAAGGGTACTTGAGAAGAAGGGGCCTGACAAATAAAGGTGAAATAAGCCAATGTCACTGGATTTGTACAAAAGGTAAACAGAAGATGCATTGCCATAGGGGTCCACCAGACTCACTCCTCAACAGGGGAAAGCCCCTCTCCCCAGATGCCCATGGCAGCACTGCTTGGGGCTTGTTCATAGCACTTCTCAGGTGTCTTTTAGGAGACAGGAATTCATTCTGTAAGGAGTTTTTTTCTCTAAATACAGCCATTTCTGCTATATCCCCTTGTAAATGTATTCTGGTTTTAGTGTCTAATCCTATGAATTAAAGATAAGGGCTGACTGTCCCTTTAAAAATATAAATTATTGCCAGGCTCAGTGGCTTATGCCTATAATCCCAGTAACTTGAGGGTGGCTGAGGCAGGAGGATCACAAGTGCAAAGCCAGCCTCAGAAACTTAATGAGGACCAAAGCAACTCAATGAGACCCTGTCTTTAATAAAATATTAAAAAGTGCTGGGGATGTGGCTCAGTGGTTAAGTGCCCCTGGATTCAATCCCTGGTAACAAACACACACATACATGTTCACCGCACGCGCACGCACACACACACACACAAATTACTTATTTTTCCTATATTTAAGAAGTAAAGTAGTACCCCTTTATGCATTAGAGATACATTCCAAGACCCCCCAGTGGATATCTGAAAACTCAGATAGTACTGAACCCTATATACACTGTGTGTTTTTCTTATCCAAATAGACCTATGATAATTTATAAATTTATTTAATTCATAGATTAGGTACAACAAGTGATTAGTTAACAATCACTAATAATAAAACAGAACAATTATAGTGATACACTATAATAAAAAATACACTATAATAAAAGTTATTTAAAACTTGTGAATAGTTTATTTCTGGAATTTTCTATTTAATATTTTCAGACCTCAGTTGACTATAGGTAACTGAAACCATAGAGAGTAAAACCATGAATAAAAATAGATCATGTAATACATGTTTACTGTAAAAAATATGAAATACAAATGGTAGGGAAAAAAATCCTATAAACCCCAACTCGACTATAAACCTCAAAACAATTATTTTTAACATCTTTTTTGAAATTATTTTTAGAGTTAGGCATGGTGGCATATACCTATAATCCCAGCTGCTCAGGAGGCTGAGGCAGGAGGATCACAAATTCAAAGCCAGCATCAGCAATTTAGGAGGCCCTAAGCAATTCAATGAGACCATGTCTCTAAATAAAATACAAAAAAAGGGCTGGGATGTGGCTCAGTGGTTGAATGCCCCTGAGTTTAATCCCTGGTACTAAAAAAAAAAAAAAGTTGTAGATGGACACAATATCTTTATTTTATTTATTTATTTTTATATGGTGCTGGGAATCCAACCCAGTGCCTCATACGTGCTAGGCAAGCACTGTACCACTGAGCTATAACCCCAGCCCTATTTTTAACATCTTGGTAGCAAATTCTTCTTATTTTGTCTGTAAATGTTTTTGTATCCTTTAGATCATACCATAGTGTGATTTTAGATTCTGCATTTCTCGGGTATTAAAAAACGTGTTAGCATTTTCCTCAATGCCTAATATTCTATTGTACTGATTGATCTCTGATTGTTGGATGTGCAGGTTGATTCCAATTCAATATTCATGAACATTTTAAGGCTCTTTTTTTTTTTAGTTGTAAATGGACACAGTACCTTTATTTTATTTATTTATTTTATGTGGTGCTGAGGCTCAAACCCAGTACCTCACACATGCTAGGCAAATGCTGTACCACTGAGCTATAATTCCAGCCCCCATTTTTTTGTTGGGGGGGTACCAGGGATTTAACTTAGGGGAACTTGACCACTGAGCCATATCTCCAGCCCTATTTTGTATTTTATTGGATACAGGGTCTCACTGAGTTGCTTAGCATCTTGCTAAAATTGCTGAGGCTGCCTTTGAACTCCCGATCCTCCTGCCTCCACCTCCAGAGCTGCTGGGATTATAGGTGTGCACCACTGTGCCCAGCTTCCAGCCCCCATTTTAAGGCTCTTGATTCTTATTGTCACCTTGCTTTTCAGAGAGCAATACCAATTTGCACATCTCTAGCACAGGTAAAAGTATAGGTCTAGACTCCAATTTCTCTCCTTTTTACTAGTTTATAAAAGAGGTTTTTCTGGAAGTCCCAACTGATTACAGTGATATGAGATCACTTGTGTAGCTATTGGTATAATTGAAAGAGTTATTGGAATGCCTTGTTATTTTCACTTTTCAGTATGTGTACATTTCCCTTCCTCTTCAGGGAGAGACCAACAGGATTATAGCTTCCCACACGATGAACAAAAACTCGTCCAGGTCACACTGCATTTTCACCATCTACATGGAGGTGAGTGCAGCTCTGAATAGCTTGGGAAGGGCAGTCAATTCCCCTGGGGACTGTCTGGTCAGATGCTCCTCCCTGGGACCATCTAACTTCTGTTTGGATGTTTTTTGTAGGCGCATTCCCGGACCTTATCAGATGAAAAGTATGTTACTTCCAAAATTAACTTGGTGGATCTGGCAGGCTCAGAGAGGCTGGGGAAGTCTGGGGTAAGTGAGAGGAGCAAGAGGTTCCTTTTCAGCCAGACATGGGACCTGTGTCTGGCCCAGTGCCTGTGCATATGGACTATCCCTCACTGGGATATAAGGGCATAGTCCTGAGCCAGGTGAAGTGCAGCACATCCATCTGCTTGCTGGTGGGACAGAATTAGTACAGGTGGAATGGCTGCTGCAGAGGGGTAATTCGGCTCCATGGGATTTTTCTGAACCTTAAATGAAATGATAGCCCCTAAATTATTAGCAAGGTGACTGGCTCAGTAAACACTCCATTTTAGTATAGTGTTTCTCTATGTATGAATATAAATATTTACATGAGTGTCTGCATTTCGAGTAAATATTCATATGAGTATATTAACACAAGTATTCACAAGAGTATTCCACATGCATATTCACATGTCGCTTTGTATTGGTGTTTGTGTGAATGCTCATAAGGTTACTTGCTTAGCTCTCTGTATTAGTATTCCCATGTGCATTTATGTTAGTGCAAATCTTTGAATATTTATATGAATATTCATGTAAGTATTCATATTTTTTGCGAACATTCATATGAATGTTGTCTTAAGTTCCTGAGTTTCAGTATTACATTTATTAGCCCCAGATAGACTACAACCCTACAACATTGAGGGAAGACCCTGGTTCTGGGAAGGAGGTTTTAGCCTGTCTGTAAACATGCAGTATCACCCCAAACCAGGAGGGCAGCCATTCTTAGCCATTCCCTCTCAAGTAGAACTGCCTTTGCTTTGTAGTCCGAGGGTCGAGTTCTGAAGGAAGCCACCTACATCAACAAGTCGCTGTCTTTCCTGGAGCAAGCCATCATTGCCCTTGGGGACCATAAGCGGGACCACATCCCTTTCCGACAGTGCAAACTCACTCATGCCCTGAAGGACTCCTTAGGTGAGGATGTGATTGGTGCCCAGAAAGGAGGATTTGTGTCCCAGGGAGGGCAGGCCTGGCACATCTGCCACTGTGGATTTTAGAATTGCTCCCTCACAGGGGCATGAACTTACCCACAGCCCTCTCACCGTGATTTCAGACACACCTGAAAAAGCAGAATCAAACCCTCTTGTATCCAGCACATGCCATTGCGATTCACTTCTCAGAACCTTTACTTAAGATTTTGCCTCTGCTGGGAATACCTTGTCTTTTCCCCTTGTTCCTAAACCAGAATCCTTCATGGTCTCAAAGGCCAGGGTGAGGACCTCACCCATCATGTCCTTCCTTCCTCTTGTAGCTCCTGGGCAGAGCAGTGGGGCCTATGTCTTGTCATTTCCATGGTCCTCAGGCCTTTATGTTGGGCCTAAGGACACAGTCACTGTTTTCTGATTGTTAGGTGAGTGATGCCCTGAGTGGAACCCTGGCTCACACCCTCTATCCTGACCCTGTCCCCTTCCCCTGCCCACTGCTGTCTATTGTTGTCTCTTGGCTCCTCTTTTAGGTACATCTGATGGCCTCTTTCTCTCCCTCAGCATTATACAGGCTTAGGTTGTCTTATCTGACTCTTAGTTTGGGCTGATAAAACAAAATATCATAGACTGAGTAATTTAAACAATAAACATATTTCTCATAGTTTTAGAGGCTGGAAGTTCAAGGTGCTGGCTTATTTGATTCCTGATGAGGGTCCTCTTCCTGGCTTACAGATGGCCACCTTCTGGCTACATCCTCACACAGAAAGAGTGTTCTAATCTCTTTTCTTATGAGAACAATAATTCCGTTATAATAGCCCCACCTCTTCTAAATCTAATTATCTCCCAAAGTCCCTACCTCCAAATACTGTCACATAGGTACTTGGAAATTGGACTTTGAGGGTTAGGGCTTCAACATATGAATTTTGTGGAGATACAAACATGCAGTCCATAACAGAACCCCACCAGCCCCAAGGGAGTCTCCTAGCAGAAGATCCACGATTCATGCCCTTCTGTGTCTTTCTACAGGGGGAAACTGCAATATGGTCCTTGTGACAAACATCTATGGAGAAGCCGCCCAGTTGGAAGAAACGGTATGTAAAGACAGCCACTGCAGGCTGGGGTTTTGGCTCAGTGGTAGAGCACTTGCCTAGCATGTTTGAGGCCCTGGGTTTGATCCTCAGCACCATATATAAATAAATAAAATAAAGGTCCATTGACATCTAAAAAAAAAAGTCCGTGCAACTAGACTGGAGTCCCTCTTCATGAGTGCCAGAACTGGGTAAGACTGGCTCCTGATTGGCTTAGCTGCCACACTAGCCATAGTCATTATCAAGGATCCCAGGGAGGAGTCTGAGCCAAAATTTCCCTGAGGGGCTCAGTCAGGGATCCAAACACCAAGCACTGAACTGTGTTGAGGAAGAGGACAAGGCGGGAGGCTGGCTGGGCAGGAGAGATTATCAAAGGAGGGAAGGCACATGCCTCCTGGGGGGGCTGCTCCTCTGAGTTTGGATTGAGAAGGACAGTTGATTGTTCTTTATGATCACACATATTTGAACATCTTGAAAACACTACAGTGTTCAAGGCTATACTACTAAGGCTGGTATGAGTAGATAGGTATTAAGACCTGCCATGTACCAGTGGTAAACAGGGATCAGCTTGGTAGAGATGAGTCATATCACTCTGGCTTTGAGCTTCAGAGTTCCCAGCCCAGGAAGAAAGAAACCATGGCCTTAAGTAATGCGAAAGGCCAAGATGGAGGATCCCTGTAGGAAAGAAGGGGGACTTTTCCTGAAGCTATTGGCACTGAGCTGGCTGGAGTTTAAGGATTGGTGATAGGATGAGCAGAGGCATTCCTGGCAGAGGTAACAGTGGGACTGAAGTTGTGACCCATGCCAGGAACATCTGGCTCCTGCAGAGGAGAGCTCAGGAAGGAGAGAAAGAAAATTTGCAAGACTGAATGGGACCTGGTCACCAGGCTGAACACTTGGCTATTCTCCTGTAAGTGGCTGGAGCTACCATAGGGTTTGAGTAGGGAAGAGCTGTGGCCACAGGTATGATTTATGAAGATTAACCCAGTGGCATGACCCATGTGACCAGGGGAGAGGAGAGGCTCTTGGGAACCAGAGGCAGAAATAAGGTTCAACACAGTGACTCACGTGAGTTCACACAGTTGGACCCCTCCAGGCTGGGCTTGCTCCTCTCCTTTGAAGAGCCTCTCATCATAAATAAGACAGGTCTGGAAGGCCATCACTAGATACGTTACTCTACAAGTGTGAATATTTGGTTGGATGCTGTGGCACATGCCTGTATTTCCAGTGACTAAGGAGGCTGAGGCAGGAGGATCACAAGTTCAAGGCCATCCTGGGCAACTTAGGAAGATCCTGTCTCAAAATAAAATGACTAGCAGGTGTAACTCAGTAGTAGAGCACCCCTGGGTTCAATCCTCAGTACAGGGGGAAAAAAAGTATGGATACTTAAGGCAACCCTTTTCATTTAGGTGAAACAGGATGCTATGGGGCAATGCACACCTGCAGGGCCTCCAAGTGGTGTTCATTAGATACAGTCCTAACTTCCAGGGGGAGTACACCTGCCATGAATCCAGTGCCCTGGGACTTGGGAGGCTGGGGCAAGGAGCTCCAGCTGACGTGCAGGTGGCATCCCCAGAGGAAGGCTACAGGAATCTCTTGGTCTCATCTCATAACAAAGCATGGTGAAACCCCAAGGGGAGTCATAAAAAACGGGTCCCTTGGATGCCTCATTAAGAAAGACGTCCTCTGGGCTGGGGTTGGGCTCCGTGATAGAGCCTGGCATTTGTGAAACCTGGGCTCCATTTCCCAGCACCCCACATACATACTCCTGCACATGCTCTCCATGACAGTGGAAGCCCCCTTTCCACAGCACAGGAAGCACCTCTTCTGGTACCTACAGGGCCTAATGCCCCACCAGTCAGGGTCTCTATCCAGGAGAGCCCACAGACCTATAGGGAGGGCCTCAGGTGTTTGAGACAAAGATATATGAGGGTGTGGAAACTAATCATTCTCTTCTACAAATGTTTTAAAACTATAAAATGTTTCTACCAAGCATATTGTGAAGAATTAAATTTAAAATTAGTGTTCATTGTTTTCTCTAATTAGATGACTAACAGTGGATAAATTTGAAATTTAGAAGAAATAATTTTTTAATAACTGTGACCCTTATGTTTAACAAATATTTTGGTATTGCAGATTTGCTTGTCCCAATAGAAGAATAACAAAAGAAGAAACTATGGGAGAAAAATTTTAGGCTATTTTTTTTAATATTTAAATTTTATTATTTTAAACCACAATTTTTCTCAGAACTTCTTTGGAATTTCTAACATTTTTGGTCATTTAATTTAAGAATGAGAGCCATATGTTTTGATTTCTAAAGGCAAATTTAATGCAAAGTGGGTAAGATTAAATCCATAGCAAAGTTTTCTATTAAATTTTTTAATAGATTTTTTAAAGCTAATTCTGTCCTAATTGTATTTTGGGGATTAAACAGCAACAAACTATAAAAAAAAATGTTTCTGGCATGGATTGTGTTACTTTGTGCACCGATATTGTGTATGTGTGTGTGTGTATGTGTGTGTGTAACCACAGCAATGGAGTCATGACTACACTTGGCTGCTGTGCTTAGAATAGGAGGGTCTGATTTGGCCCTTCACAGAAGCAATACCATCTCTCACAATAGGGACTTCTGAGGGCTGACATTGTATACTTTGCCACTAAGCCTCCCAGGGATCCCACAAGGCAGGGCTCCCTTCACTTTACAAGGAAGAGGGGAGATCTATCTGAGGTCACACAAGTAGTGAGTGGAAGAGTTCTTAACTACCAGACCCGACAGCCAAGAAAGAATCCTTTCAGTTCTTCCTTGAGGGACCACTTCCTTGAGGCAACCCATCCCCTTTCCAAACCTTCCTTATTTCAAGGCCCCTTTGGCGACAGTCAGCCCAGCATGGGATGAGGCTGGAATCTCCATGTCTGCTTCCTGATGCTTCTGTCTGCTCCTTTCTGCCAAGAAGGAGCACTCCAGCCCTCATCTGACATCGTGCAGTGGGGCATAGCATCTGGGCCATTTCCAAAATACCTGCTCATGTGGCCACCTCATAAGTCTCCTTTCATAATTATCCCTGGCTGGCTACCCCACCAGAGGGATTCTGGTGGAACCTGGTGGGCTTAAGAGGCATGTGGAGCAGGTTTCTGTTTAGGGTTCACCTTTCACAGTGGTCTCCTTTTGTTCATTTTACAAATATCTCCACCCACTGTTTTCCAAAGACAGAGGCCAACCAGTACACATGCACACACACAGTTTAAACTCTGCTGAATTAGATTTTTGGCTTTACCACTAAGTAGCATCCCTGTAGTGTATAAACTGAGGACCAGGCTGCATTATGTACTCTCTGTCAACTTCCTGCTCTCCCTATTATATTCCTTATCCCACTGAGGGACACTTTTATTTATTTATTTTTATTTTATTTTATTGGTACCAGGGATTGAACTCAGGGGTGCTTAACCACTGAGCCACATCCCCAGCCCTTTTTTATATTTTATTTAGAGATAGGGTCTCACTGAGTTGCTTATTAGCACCTCGCTTTTGCTGAGGCTGGCTTTGAACTCCCGATCCTCCTGCCTCAGAGTTGCTGGCATTACAGGTGTGAGCCACTGTGCCCAGCTAACCCTTTTTATTTTTTTTTATATTATTTTTTGATTCTGGGGATTGAACCCAGGCCCTGGTACATGCTAAGCAGGCACTCTCCTGTTGACCCCCAGTCCTACCCCTCAAACTCCCTTCCAGCCAAGGTTTCCTGAGGGAAGAGAACCAACACCAGTTGACAAGGTGCCTGAAGAAACAGGAGAGGTCTCTGAGTAAGGCAGCCAGGGCCTCTGAGTAAGGCAGCTTTCTTGGGGTCTCACTTGAGTGGGAAGCCATCTGACATCCATCTGCCTGGTCTGTTTTTCAGTTATCCTCACTGCGATTTGCCAGCAGGATGAAGCTGGTCACCACTGAGCCTGCCATCAACGAAAAGTACAATGCTGAGGTACTAAGGGGCTTGTAGGCACTTGCCACTGTGGGAAGATGTGGGTGGGTTTGCCTCTGTGTGTGTTTCTTTGGCTGAGGCAGGAAACCACACAAGCCTTTAACCAGAAAATGCAAATTAAAATGTTACATCCTCACACTAGCAAAAATTGGAATTTTTCTGATAAGGCAAAATGATTTTTTCTAGACTTTTTTCCCCATTTCTAGTCAGAATGAATTTATACAATCATTTGGGGAGCATTTTGACAACATCTGATAAAGCAAAAACACATTTACTGATAATTTGGCTTTCTTTTAAGATGCCTGCAGAATCATAGTTTTTGGAGGCAGGGACCCTAAGCTCATGACAAACCAGTTAAACTTTCCAGGTTCTAAATCCTGAAGAAAAGGACAGTCCCATGGCACTGTAGAACTAACTCATGGTTTGAGGTAGTAGTTCTCAAACTTGCCCAGCCATCAGAATCACCTGGCCAGCCTGCTGAACTGTGGGTTCTGGATCCATTCCCAGAGTTTCTGATTTAGTCTGTCTGGGTTGGGACCTGAGGATTTGCATTTCTAATAAGTTCCCAAGTGATGAAGCTTTTGCTGCTGCTGCTCTGGGGGCTATGCTTTGAGAACCACTGGCATAGTAGTTAAGAACTGGACCCCTGGGCTGGACCGTCCTGGAGAAATAATAGAATTCCACTCTCAAAAGAGATCTTGTGAAGAATCAGTAAATGTGTACAAACTTCTTAGCCCAGTGCTGTCATGGAGAAAATGTTCCATAAATATTAGCTAGCACTCTAATATTTGACAGGATCAACAGAGTAACAGTGTCACTTCTAATATATAGTCTAGAGATACTCCCAAGAATGGTGCTCACAGTGCTTATTATTATAATGAAAGGTTAGAAACACCACCAGTACCCTTTATTTTCTTTCTTTCTTTTTTGGTACCAAGGATTGAACCCGGGGTGCTTTACTACTGTAACTATTGAGCCACATCCCCATCTCTCTTTTTATTTTTTATTTAGAGACAGTGCCTCAGAAAGTTGCTTAGAGCCTCAGAAAGTTGCTGAGGCTGCCCTCAAACTTGCTATCTTCCTGCCTCAGCCTCCCGATTCACTGGGATTATAGGAGTACACCACTGCACCCAGAAATCAGTACCTTTCACAGGAGAGGAACTCAAATGTTATAGAATGAGGAAGCCAGAGCTAGAGTTAGCAGCATGAGTAAACATCACGTGAGAAAACAACTTGAGGATAAAAGTGGATCAAATGCCAGCATGTATTATTTACACTAAGTGTATGTACACTAAGTGTAAAAACATGCAGAATGATGTCAGTTATCATCAGTGGATATATGTGTGCAGTAGAAGAGAAGATGCATGGAAATGAAAGACCACCTGAGGCCAGAGGTTCCCCTGGGGTGGTAGGGGAGTAGACATGGAGTGGGGTATGCAGGGGCTTCACATTTATCTGGAAAACAAACAAACAAACTGGAGCCTCTATAGTACCATGCTATCAAAGTTAGATTTGGGGTGGCCACCCAGGTTTCACTGGCATTCTTTCCTGTAGGCTTGACGTTTTCTTTATTTGGTTGCCACCTGCAGCCAGTATTTCTAGGTATTTGTAGCACTTTTTTCAGTATCATGCCTGTTTTCCAGGGGTTGGAATAGCTTCTGCAGAATTTCCTTGGCTGGTAGGGCTGGCTGTGAGTTGGGGGACTGGGTTCCTAATCTACTTCTGCCTCCAGCTTTCTGTAGTAAGCTGCTCAGACTCTGAGCCTCAGAATCTTCTTCTGTGAACATGGAGGTTAGACTGATGCTATCTGGTGACCTTCCTACTCTGTCAGTCTGTGAATCTCCGAGGTGGTGTGAGCCTCAGGCATAAACAGACAACAGAGACAAGCTCAGTATTTCTGCCAAGTGGGGAAAAAAAAAACCCCTTATGTTGCAGTGTAATCAAAATGGAGAAGGTGTCTGTCCTGAAAGTTACCCAGCAGCCTGGTGTAGGATTGAAGCAGAACTCTGAATTATCCTATTACATTTGAGATAGAAATGCCTAGGCATCAGGGAACTTATATGAGTTTATGCCATTTCCAAGGCATTTTTATTTTTCTTTTTTTAAATATTTTATTATTTTTTAGTTTTAGGTGGACACAATATCTTTATTTTATTTTTATGTGGTGCTGAGAATCGAACCCAGTTCCTTGCGCATGCCAGGCAAGCGTACTACCACTTGAGCCACATCCCCAGCCCCTCCAAGGCATTTTTCTATCCCCCCAAAAATGTTCCTGGTGTAATAAAGGAGTCCGTCATCCAGGAAGTGCTGCTACACCCTGATCTGTGGGGTCTGCTGTTCCACCCCTGTTCCAGGAAGTAGAAAAGGCTATTATGCCTACCAGGTCTTAGAAGAAACATCTCATGAGTTCTCATAGTGTGAGTCAGATGCTGGTGCCTCATGGGAGTAGATGGCTCATTTCCCCATACCATCCTCTGATTGACCCAATGTGTGCCACACTGAACTGTCATCCAGCTAGAGGTCCCAACAGCTCAGCCAGACTTTCCCTACCTGGGGCATAATGCATTTTCCAGAGCTGGGAAGAGGGCATGGGGATAATTGGGGCTGGCCACCAAGCCTCTCCTCTTGACCACACAGGAAGTCCATGCCTGAAAGAGACCTACATGGGACTTCCTAAGGGACTGGGCCAAAGTTTGGAACTCTGATCACGTACCTTGAGCCCCAGGTTTTGTGCCAGAATTGTAACAGAGCCACCTTAATGCCAGATGTCTGGTGCCCCTTGCTAGGTGAGGGCACAGTGACTGGTGGACTTCAGTACCCAGATGATCTGGCTGGATGAGGACTGTATTAAGAAAGCCAGTGGGGCTGTGAACTGGTCACTAGTCCCAGGATCCAGATGTCAGGGGCTCCCTCCAGTGGCCATTTTGTGACAACAAAAGAAAACCCTGTTCACAGTGAAGGTTCTCAACATCTTTTATGAAAGGCATTCAGGTAATATCTATCAAATGATGTAAATGACTTAACAATTCTGCCTCTGGTGTCATTTCTCCACTTGAGCCTAAGTCTATGAATGGAGTCTTTACTAATGTGCCAGTACTCTTTGAAGCATTTGGGACACAGAGCTGCATGAACCAAAATAACAATCTCTGCCCGAGCTTACTGTGTTAGTCAGCTTTCCATCACTCTAAGAAAATACCTGAGCTGGCTATGATGGTGCACAACTGTTAATACCAGCAACTTGGGAGGCTGAGGTAGGAGGATTGCAAGTTTGAGGGCACCCTCAGCAACTTAGCGAGGATCTAAACAACTTAGCAAAATTCATTCTCAAAATAAAAAATAATAAAGGTCTGCAGATATAGCTCAGCAGTAGAACACCCCTAGGTTCAATACCCCAGTACCAAAAATAGAAAAAGAAAGAAAGAAAATACCTGAGATAATAAAAAAGAGAAAAGTTTATTTTGGCTTATACTTTTAGAGGTTCCCATCCATGGTCTATTGGCTCCATTGCTTTGGGCCTGGGGTGAAACAGCACATTAAGGTGGGAGGGGCATGATGGAGCATTCTCAAATGTCATGGCCAGGAAGCAGGAGAGAAGGCTAAAGGAGCCAGGATCCTCATATCCCCTCCAACTGCAAGCTCTCAATGACCTGAAGACCTCCTACGAGGCCCTACCTCTTAAAAAGTTCTGCCATTTCCCAATAGCACCACCCTGGGACCAAGCCTTTAACACATGGGCCTTTGGGAGATATTTAAGATCCAAACCATAGCATTTAGAGTCCACTGGAAGTAGAAGAAATAGATAATAATAAGCACAATAAATAGGTAAGTTCTAGGACTGGGGAGTGGTGCTCAGTGGTAGAGTACCTGCTTAGCATGTGCAAGACCCTGGATCTGATTCCCAGCATCAAATTAAAAAAATAGAGCTTCATGTCCAATGCAGTAACCCCTACTCATGTGGTATTCTGTAACGTTGAGAAATTCGTTTCTTCAGTCACACTGGCCACATTTCAAGTGTCTAATAGACAACACAGAGAACATTTTCATCATTACTGAAGGTTGTGTTAGACAGCACTGGTTGAGAGTATGTTGGAAGGTAATATGCGCTATGAAAATAGAGTGAGATTTTTCTTAGAGTAAAATTTTTAAAAACAGTGGTGAGAGGGTTGGGGTTGTAGTTCAGTGGTTGAGCGCTTACCTCGCATGTGTGAAGCACTGGGTTCAATCCACAGCACCACATAAAAAAAAATAAATAGGGCTAGGATTGTGGCTCAGCGGTACAGCACTCGCCTAGTGCTTTCGGGGCCCTGGGTTTGATCCTCAGCACCACATAAAGATAAGTAAATAAAATAAAAGTATAAAAAAATAAAAAACAAACAAAGATATTGTGTTCATCTACAACTAAAAAATTTTTTTAAAAAAGAGTGGTGCGGAGATGGGTGGGGGACTGCAATTTTTAAAAAGTTGACTGGTACATCTAATTGAGAAGCTTTTGAAGAAAGATTTTAAGGAGGTTTTGGAGTGAATCATGGAAATACATGGGAGAAAAGCATCCCTAGGCAGAGGAGTAGGCATGCACAGGCATGAGTACACCAATTTGGAGAGAATAGAGTGGGCCAGGAGAGAGCAGTAGAAAAGGGATAATGGGGGCAGATTACACAGAGCTGCACTGATCACTGTTATCCTACAGAAATCTATAAGGACACAGAAATATTAGCACAAAGACATTCTTACAGCGGCAAAAAATTAGAAGTGATGGAAGTAATCATTATTAGTATTTTTTGGCGGGAGTGGGTATCAGGGATTGAACTCAGGGGCATTCAACCACTGAGCCATGTCCCCACCCCTAGTTTGTATTTTATTTAGAGACAGGGTCTCACTGAGTTGCTTGGTGCCTTGCAATTGCTGAGGCTTTGAACTTGCAATCCTCCTGCCTCAGCCTCCCGAGCCACCAGGATTATAGGCGTGCGCCACAGAAGTGATCATTACTGGGGAATGGTAACAGGTTCATGCAGTGGTTGGCAAGGCTAAGGATGCATAGCAAGCATCCTGGAGCCGGTGGGCTGCAGTGAAAGGGCTGTTATGCTGGGTGATTAGGAAAAGCCTGGGGCCCTGGGGAGTCAGGGTGTGAGGTGGAACTGTGGCCTGTGTTCTCTCTGTTCTCAGTTTACTCTGTTGGATAAGGCAAAGGCAAGGGGAGCACTAAAGCCTCTCAAACCCTACTCATTCTTGTTGGGAAAGGGTCACCAGCAGGGAAGGAATGGCCTAGAAACTGAGCATAAACCCTGGGGATTGCCAGGATGTCTGGGCACAGAATAAGGAATTGTGTGGAAGAGGGAGAGTGGTTTCTCTGATGATCTCCCCTTCTTTTATGTTTCCCTGGCAGCGAATGGTCAAGAACCTGGAGAAGGAGCTAGTATTGCTCAAGCAGGAGCTAGCCATCCATGACAGTCTGGTAAGGGGTTGAGGCAAAGGATGCTAGAGGGCATGGGGCCAGGGGCATACAACATATGGGTCAAGCTCAGGGGAGGTGGGACAGATTAGGTGGTGGGGAAGGGGCAGCAGCAGGGGTTATGAGGGAGAGGGTAGGGTGAGGTCCTGCCTGAGCTGATGTTCATGGTCCTGAGGGTCTTCAAAGCAGAGGCAACTTATCCCATTTTGTGGTCTACTGAGATTTAGCCAGTAGAACATTCTGGAGCATCAGGCTTCAAGTCCAGTGGTCTTTCCTTCCCTCATCCCATCCATTACCTTTCTCTATCCCAAGCACTTGGCCCTCTGTGACAGATGGTGAAGCAAATAGGACCAGCTTTGGCATCTAGGGGATGTGCCCAGTCTCCAACTTTGGTTCTCAGAATGACCCCTGCTACTCCTATTTGGGCTCAAGTCCTAACTATTTACCTACCACATGTTCTTCTTCCTTCAAGGCCAACCGCAACATTGTGACCTATGACCCCATGGATGAAATCCAGATTGCTGAGATCAACTCCCAGGTGCGGAGGTACCTGGAAGGGACACTGGACGAAATTGACGTAAGGAGCCCGTTTATAGGACACCATGCTCAGTTGGCTTGGGCCTCCCTGTCCTAGGCACACCTACTATGTGCTCTGCTGGCTTTGGAACCTGACACTAAATGGATGTAGTGGGCTGGGGATGTCATGCTGGACCCCTTCAACCCATCATAGCCTCAGCTTCAGTGTTGAGGGTTTCAAGGCTATGGGGCTCCACAGAGTGTGCTCTTAAACACACAATGTACGGGAGGTGGTCTGTCTCAGGGGTGTAAGCATAGGCCCTGGAGCCAGGCTGCCTGGATGGAATTCCGGCTCAGCTATCTCCTGCCTAAATGACTGTCAGATACTTCAGTGGCTCCATGTGCATAGTGAGGAGGGAAACTGAGCTGTGATTAACTGAGCTGCTGCCCCTCAGGTGCTTGCCAGTGCCTGGTGAAATGAAATTGATAAAGCATGGCAGTAAGACTGGTTGTCTACAAGGAGGACTCCCAGGGCCCATGTTGGAAAGGGCCAAGGAGGAGAAACAGCAGATACACAAGGAAGGGCTCTCGGAGGAAAATACATCCTGTTCTTACAGTGCAGGCCATCAAACCCTCACCAGGGAGCCACATAGGCCCCTACCTTTCCCTGCTCCCCAGCTGTTAGTGTTGGCAGTTTGCAAGAGGCAGGTCTGGGACATCTGAGGGTTGGGCTCTTATGGCTTTCTCAGCAGGGCCATTCTTATATTTTTTCTTTCTTTCTTTGTTTTGTTTTGGTACTGGGTATTGAACCTAGGGATACTTTACCACTGAGCTGCATTCCCAGCCCCTTTTTCATTTTTTATTTTGAAACAGGGTCTCGCTAAGTTGCTGAGGCTGACCTCGACCCTGAGATCTTCCTGCCTCAGCCTGCAGATGTGTACCAGTATGCCTGGCAGGGACATTCTCAAACTAGCTTTTGAACAGGGGTAATGCCATAAGCATTAGTGCCAGGAGGGAAACTAGTGACCTTTCTCCAGCCACAGATGTGCCCACACCTAAATGTTTGTTAATGGGGTCCATCTGAAGATGGCAGGCTGAACCTTTTAGAAACAGGAGAGAGTTGATTAAATTTTATTAAAGTTTCTTTCTTAGAAAATGTTTTCAAGAACCAAATATCTCTGCTTAGATTTTATAGAGATCTTCACTTAGAAAAAGTGGTTTTTATAGATTTAGCAAATATTTAGTCTTAAAGCTATTAATCAGGTGTTTCTCTGATCTTGAGGAGGGCTTGACTACCACTTTACTGAGAGGCTGTTTGCAGATGACCCATTCTCAAAACAAGATGGTCTGAGTCAGCTAAGGGATCCAGATTTCTCTGCTAACATAACCACAGCTTAGGCCCTTGGTGTACCCATGATCTAACTTCTGCCTTGTTCACTTCCCTCCAGATAATCAACCTCAGACAGATCCAGGAGGTATTCAACCAGTTCAGGGTGGTTCTGAGGTGAGGGACTTCTTTATGGCCCCCCCATTCTCATTTCAGGCTACTATTTTCATTTCCTGTGGTCTGGGAACCTGCCTCCAAGAACATCCCCTTCTTTTTCCCATAAGAGGAGACAGAGCAGTGTTTGGGGATGCCCAGGTCCTGGATGGATGTTTATTGAGTTCATTATTTAAACAGGAAGTCTTATGGAGTGCTAGCCCTAAATGTGCCCAAATCAGGGATCATGAATCTTTCTCATACCCAACCTCAGGAGGCATTTATGGTTTATTTGGGTACAGGTATACCCACAGCCTGAGTAGCTCATACTGGCTGATGTCACAGAAGCTGGTCACATGATTCTGAGGGGCCTGTTCAAGATAGAACCTCTGAGTCAGCATGATCCCCGGTCAGGCTTAAAACCTTTATTAAGTGTCATCTTGGAGCAGATGCATTTGGTGCAAAGGGTGGCTTGTTCAGGTTTTGGAGCTGGATAATGCTATGTGAATTGTAGAGAGAAGATGAGCCCTTTTGTCTGCTTTGTGCTCTGGCTCATGATGATAGGGGTTACCCTTATCACATACATGGGATTTCATCCAAACAACCTCTAATCCCAGTACTTGGTTCATGCCTGAGCTTACTCAGCATAACCACTATATTCTCTCACTTTCTTTCCCAAGCCAACAGGAACAGGAAGTGGAGGCGGCCTTACGTAGGAAGTACACTCTTATAGACAAGAATGACTTTGCAACAATTTCTGCTGTCCAGAAGGTAAGCACAGTTACCTCTTGCTGAAAGTACTTACCTCCAACTTTCCATCTTCAGTCAAACCTTTACAGAAGCAGCAGGTATAGTGTATTAACCCAGAGCTAGGATTGCCACAGGGAAGTTAACACCAGAATATGCAAGAATAAACCACTTTTGCTTTGAAAATGACTTCTGTAAATTGGAGATAATTTATAGAAGTGGCTAATAATAAACAAGACCAATTCCTGGAATTAGGTTGGCAATAGGTGTTAAGATCCTCAGGAATGAGCTGGGCATGGTGGCACACATCTGTAATCACAGTGACTCAAGAGGCTGAGGCAGACAGATCTCAAATTTGAGACCAGCCTTAGCAACCTAGTGAAACCTGTCTTAAAATAAAATAAAATAAAATCGAAAAAGGACTGGAAATACAGCTCAGTGTTAACGGTGCCCAAGAGTTGTTTCCTAGTACCACCAAAAAAAAAAAAAAGAAGAAGAAGAAGAAGATCCTCCATCGCCATCTATCCTAGCTGGCGACCTAATGCTGGATTCACAAAATCTGACTATTCCAATAACTTAAGAAAATGATTAAAAAAAAGCACACAAACACACAGAAGTACTTTTCAAAATCCATGACATCTCTCCAACCTTAAGGGTCCTTCAAAATCCATGATGTCTCTCCAACCTTAAGGGTCCATGGAAAGAGAGAAAGCCACTGGAATTCTTTATATTTATCTAGGGGACACACAAGGGAAGGTTCCATGGAACAATCTATCCCCAAAAGGGCAAAGGGGTAGGATAACAAAGGAACAGTGAGTATAACTCAACCCCAGCAGGTGACGCCTACTCTTGGAGCCACACCTTGGTAATGCCCAAGTTACTGCAACCTGGCACCACCTTCCCAGACTGAAGGCAATAATTGTTCAGAACCCTGGTGCATCAGGACTTAAAGGTGTCTGCATCCAGGGCAGCTCCCAACAATCCTCAGGGATGGATTAGTCAGTGCCTTGATATGGAAAGTAAACATTCATCAGGGTGGTCAGGGACAGCCCTGTTGAGAACAGACTGGCATCAGCAGCAGCCAAGTCTTGGTTTATGGGGTGAACATACCCACCCCAAGCCTTGGGCCATATACACTTGTGTTGATGAGGGACCCAAACTTTCAGTCTAACCCAGACCCTTTGGCTCACCTTTCTGTTCAGGCAGGGCTTATTGATGTTAATGGCCACCTAGTAGGTGAGCCTGATGGACAAGGCTTTGGACTTGGAGTTGCCCCTTTCTCTACCAAACCTGGGAAGAAATCCAAGTCCAAGAAGACAGTCAAAGATCCGCCCAGGTGAGTGCTCTTCCTGCTCTTCTTGCTTAGTACCTGGCCTACTTGGTGGGTAAAAGCTGTGTCTTCCCCTACCCTTGTGTCTCAGTTACTGGGTAGTCACAATGGATATTACTGCTGTCAGTGCTAGTATATCCTTGAGGCTCAGGTTGGGACCAGTTTGGAACCAGCCATAATACAAGTGTCACCTCTAACCTTCACAGCAACCCTGAGAGGTGGAAATTAATATCTGTTTTACTAATGAAGAAACTGAGGCTCAAGAGGAGAATTCACTTCCCCATATCATACCATTGTGGAGTAATAAAGTTGGGGAGAGGATCTCAGCCAGCATACAGAGCTCTCTGGTACTTCCTGTGGTCCCCCCATCACCACTTCAACAGAGTACTTCCACTGTAAAAATCACTTAAGTCTCCAGTTCACCTTTCAGGCAAGACTCATTTGTATGTACAAGGTAGGAAAAGTGTTTAGGTCCACTTAATATGCTATGTCCAGGCTGGGCTGTGTAGCAGGAGACAGAGGTGCAGACTTCAGAGTGATGTCTGGCCTCACCTCCCACTCTGGGCTTCTTAGAACCTAGGAATCACCTTGAATAAGAGGTATGAGAACCCATCTATGTCTCTGTTTCCTCATCCTTAAAATGAGAATAATAAATAATAACATCAAAGTCATTGAGGGCATTGTGAAGATAAGTGAGTGAGTATAGTCCATGCACATGGGCCAATGTGGATTGTAGAAAAACGTCACATGTAGGACAGGAGTCATGTAGCAGAGGATGCCAATGACCCTGGTCACTACCTGCCCCTTTAGGAGAAGCAATCATGTCCCAGCTTTCTCTGTTCAGTAATCGGTACAATAACATGCATTAAGCTTGATTTTCTAAGCAACACTTGTTACAAGAGGAGGAGGAAATCTGGAGTGAGCCAGGGCCTGCTCTTGCCAGCAGAGTCCTGCTCAGATGTGCTGCTCCTAAAGGGAAGGCACATGAAGTGCCATCACTTGGAGAGGGAGGATGGCTATTTTTCTGGGAGCTGGTATGGGCACTGATGCAGGTGGGAAGCACAGACCAAGGACTGGTCAGAGCCACAGGGCAGACCTGTCCTGATTTGCCATTGGCCCACAGACAGGCCTGATGGGGTTTCTTCCCAGGGCATAGTGGTTTCTGAGAGCTTGCAGTCCGCCCCACAGGTCCACATGATTTGAAGCCCATGGAGAGTGTGTCAGTCAGCTTTCTGTCACTGGAGCAAAATATCTGAGATAAACACCTTAAACGAGGAGAGACTTATTTTGGCTTAAGGTTTCATTTCATGGTCACTTGGCCCCATTGTTCTGGGCCAGTGGTGAGGCAGAACATCCTGGCAGGGAGCATTGGCAGGACAGAGCTGCTTATATCATGGCTGTTGGGAAGCAAAGAATGAGAGACAGAGGAAGGGCTGGGGATAAATGTAGACCCTGAGAGGATGCCTCCAAGGACCTACTCCCTCCTAAGTTTTTAGCACCTCCCAATAGCTCAGTGAATTGTGAATCCATCAATAGATTAATCCTGTGATGAGGTTAGAGCCCTCAAGATCCAATCACCAGGGCTGGGGATGTGGCTCAAGTGGTAGCGCGCTCGACTGGCATGCGTGCGGCCTGGGTTCGATCCTCAGCACCACATACAAACAAAGATGTTGTGTCTGCCAAAAACTAAAAAATAAATATATATAAAAAATTTCTCTCTCTCTCTCTCTCTTAAAAAAAAAAAAAAAAAAAAAAAGATCCAATGACCTTCTGAAGGCCCCATCTCTGAGCATTGCTTTGAGGTGCTGGGGATTGAACCCAGGGCCTTGTGCATGCCAGACAAACATGAACATTGCTATCTTGGGAACAAAGCCTTCAACACTTGAGCTTTAGGGGGATATTACAGATCTAAACCATAAAAAAGACAACCTGTTCTTCCTAGGTGTGTCCTGCTGGGATTGCTGAGGGATCCTCATTCTGATAAAAGGAGAAAAATGCTCTCCTCCTCTTCCCCGTCTGCATGGCTTAGGGTCATACTGTTTGTCCTTGGGACATAATTAGGATAAGAGCTGGCGTGGCAGAATGCCTGCTTAGCATGCACAAGGTCCTGGGCTCTATCCAATGCCAACACCAAGAAGAAGGAAAAAAAAAAAAAAGGAGCTGAGTGAGGTGGATGCCTGGTGGAGTGAGGGCTGAGAAAGGTCACACCTCCATGCCTGACTTACCTTACTGCCCATGACTGAGCCCTGGGGTTTCTTTGCTTCTTCCTCCAGCTCATCAGCAAGAAAGGAAGGTGCTAGCAGCCCTGTGAGTGGCAAGGACCTAGATATGATTTCTACCTCCAAGACCCAGCTAGTCCCATCCTCTAAGGATGGGGATGTCAAAGACGTGCTTTCACGGGATCGGGAAACTTCCAGCATTGAGCCCCTTCCCTCAGACTCCCCGAAGGAAGAATCACGCCCACTCAGGTAATCATCTAAAGGACAACTCCTGGACCAGATAAACTCAAATCAGAATGTGATCCTCAATACATAGTGTCTTCAGATAAAAAAAGAAAAAGAAAAGCCAGATGTGGTGGCACATGCCTATAATCCCAGAGGCTGTGGAGACTGAGACAGGAGGATCGTGACTTCAAAGCCAGCCTCAGTAAAAGAGAGGTACTAAGCAACTCAGTGAGACCCTGTCTCTAAATAAAATATAAAATACAAAATAAGACTGGGGATGTGGCTCAGTGGTCGAGTGCCCCTGAATCCAATCCCTGGAACCAAAAAAAAGGGGGGTGGAGAGAGAAATAAAATAGGGAATACTGGCCCAGACTAGGAGCAAGTCCAGAAAGAAGAAATTTAGGCTGGACACAGTGGTGCACAACTGTAATTCCAGTGACTTGGGAGGGTGAGGCAGGAGGATCATAACTTTGAGGCTAGCCTCAGCAACTTAGCAAGTCCCTAAGTAACTTGGTGAGACCTTGTCTCTAAATAAAAAAGGGCTAGAGGTGTAACTCAGTGGTAAAGCACCCCTGGGTTAAATCCCCAGGACCAAAAAAGAAAGAAAGATTCAGCCTCAGGAGTCATCCAAGATACACAATTAAATCATTTCAGACTCTCCATGTAGCAATTATTTAAATAAAGTTAAATATCTTTTACATAAGTAATACATTCAAAATATACTAAATGTCAAGGTATAAGAGTATAACTTCTTCCTTTTCCTTCATTCACCTCCCTGGTGATTCAGTAATTGAGTTTTTAGGAATCTCTTCTAAGGAATAATTATCTCTTCTAGATAATATTCATGCAAATAAAGTTCATCGCATTATTAATTTAAAAAGCAAAAATAAAATGTGTTTGAAACACCTGCAGTAGGCCACATTAGGGAGAAGACATTAAATTATTTCTGTCTTTGGAGTGTTCAAGGATGTGCATGAAGAACTTTTTTCTCAGCCTATGCCCATTTCCAAACATTCCAAGAACTTGAAGAATTAGTAAATAACCATACACTGAGCACTCTCTTAATTCTACAGTTAGCATCTATATACTTATTTCATCTTGTGTCTAGCCCTCTTTTTTTTTTTTTGCAGTGCCAAGTAAGATGCCAATATCCATCTATTTCCCCCCACATCAACATTTCATCTTAAAACTAGAATTCTCAAAGAGTTTTTAATAGTATAAAAGATGCTTTGGTGAAAAAGATATAAAATTATATATACTGCATTGGCCTCAGCCATTTCAAAATATATAAAAGAAATCCCAAGAGACATATTGAGGTGTGGTTGCTAATAGGTAGTAAGTGGTTGTGTTGTCTGTTTCTTATCCTTAATTTCCTTAATTTCTGTGATAGGCATGCACTCTTGTGTGCTGAATAAAACAGAAATTAGGGAATGATTGCTACATAGTTTGGCTCCCATCTGGGGAAGGTGGTACCTAGAACTTTTGCCTCCTGCCTACAGAAGCCACAGGGAATAAATATGGAGTGCCTGGTACTTCTTAGGTAGCTGCCCAGTTTCTTACTTCTCCCTGGCCTCCCCCTTTGACCCTAGGCCTACCACCCCACCCTCCAAGCTGATGGCCTTTGAGGACTTTAAGAATGAGCGAGGAAGTGAGATCAACCGCATCTTCAAAGAAAACAAGTCCATCTTGAATGAGCGGAGGAAAAGGGCCAGCGAGACCACACAGCGCATCAATGTCATCAAGCGGGAGATTGACGTGACCAAGGAAGCGCTAAACTTCCAGAAGTCACTAAGGGAGAAGCAAGGTAAATGTGATGGGAAAGATGGCAGGGAAAATGGCTGTGGGGTCTTAGAGTTATCCCATGTCAAATGGGGCAACCTTGGGCACTAAAGGACAGATTGGGGAGGGATAGCAGAGGGCACTGGGATGGAGCCTTCACTCTTGGGTCATATGGCTTGGCTCTGGTCAGTTCCTTAGGGACCACAGAGTCTTTCCCTGTTGGCCAGTCTCTATCTGTCCCCATTACTGCATTATCTCAGGCAGATGGTAGGCCTTCCATCTGAAAAATGCTGCTGTCCATGAAGAATCTGGCCCTTGGTCCTGCAAAGGTGTCCTCAGGATATAGGTAGCTGGTGACCCCTTACAAGGTCCTTGGGTCTTGCTGGGGTCTCTTCACTGTCCTGGGGAGTCAGATTGCATCAAGGATGCTGGTAGGGACTATAGAAAACTGAGGAGGGAAATGAGAATGTGAATGCCAGAGGGCCAAGGAACTCACTGTCAGGAAAACCGTTCCCTATGCTGAACCCCTGACATCTGTGCTGGTTTGGCAGTCTTGTTTCCTAGGGCAGATGACATGTTGCCCAAAAATCAGAGGGTAGAAACCTCTGCATGGAGACAGTGCTTACCTGGTTGCCCTGACTCAGTGCCCTTGTCCCTGCCTACATCCTCACTGTGGCCAAGCTTGATTATGCAGAAGACTCATCTGCAAGCGACTATCAAGTGTGGATCCCCAGGCCCCCAGCCAGTGTTTCTGTACAGGAGATATAGAGCAGGGTCCAAACCCTGCATGTTAAAGAGTGACCACCCTGACTCTGAGAAGGGGTTCAGAGACCACCATTACTCACTTTCCTGGCTCCATCTCTTCATCTTCTTCCAGCTAAATTACAAACTGGTTTCACACCAGTTTTCGTGAGTGATCTCTTAATGTCACACGATTTATTCCTGCAGGCTAGATGAGTCATCTCACCATCAGGGAGTACACTTTACTTATTTATTTCTCAGAGAATAACTTTATTTTCAAAGTCTTGGAGCCAGTCCACTCATATCCCACAGACCAACCATGACATGCTATTCCAAAGGGCAGAGCCCTCCAAACACCTGGGAATCTGAAGGAATAGTGATGGTGACTCCAAACACTCCCTCACATAGAACCTCAGGAAGAGAACATGATGAAGGTCCTACAGGACCAGCAAACATTTCTTTGTTTCCTCTGCTTATACCTTTGAACATACAGCTCCTTATCATGTATTTGCACATTTAAAGTAAAATGCCTGCATGCTATACTGACAAATCATTTACTCCTAAGTGTACTTTTTAAAAAATTTTTTTACTTATTTGCTTTTAATTATAGGTGGACACAATACCTTTATTTTATTTTTATATGCTGCTGAGGATCGAACCCAGTGCCCCACACATGCTAGGCGAGCACTCAACCTCTGAGCCACAACTCCAGCCCCTCCTAAGTGTACTTTAAAATGGACATTTCAAAGGCTGAAATGAAGAAGAAATAAACAATATTTTTAAATATCTTTTGGGGCTGGGGTGGTAGCTCAGTGGTAGAGCACTTGCTTAGCATATGTGAGGCACTGGGTTTAATTCTCAGCACTGCATATAAATAAATAAAATAAAGGTCCATTGACAACTAAAGATATATATTTTTTTAAATCTTTTAAATTTTGGTATCAAAAAAAAAGTTTTTTTTCTCTTTCTTCCCCAAAGCAGTTTTACATCCGTTGTTATTAATAAGGGACCTTGTCCAAATGCCTTATGGTACTAGCCAGTGATGAAAGTTCACATACATCATTTGCAAGAAAAATAAGTATTTGGTTAATAGAAGAACTACTGAATATTTTTGGCCGATGAAGTTTAAATAAGCATGGTGCATGGGCCATCTCCTCTGCCCACCCCTTTCTTTCATCCTAAAATGATTTGCCAGCGTTTTTCCTTCTTTCTTGGATACCTGCCCCCACCCCCCCGCCAATGCCAGGTGGATGCCCTCTCATTCCCTGACCTACTCCATCCCTGCAGGTGAGTATGAGAACAAGGGGCTGATGATCATTGATGAAGAGGAATTCTTGCTGATCCTGAAGCTCAAAGACCTCAAGAAGCAGTATCGAAGCGAATACCAGGATCTGCGTGACCTCAGGGCTGAGATTCAGTACTGCCAACACCTGGTGGACCAGTGTCGCCACCGCCTGCTCATGGGTGCGCAACTTAGAAGGGTTAGGTAACTGCTCAAGGTTGGGAGGCTCAGTGTAAGGTCCCAACCCAAGTTCTGAAAATCAGAAGACCTCAGAGCTGCTTGCTGACCCAGGCAAGGCTGGGAGGGGCTTCAGGCATGTGGTTCCCAGGTCCTTGAGGGCTAGAGATGGAGATGAAGACAGGGTGAGACCCTGGAGCAGGAAGTGTATGAAACTGAGTCTGCATTGAGAACAAAATACCTTGGTGCATGCAGCCTTTACCTGCTTCCTCGGGGGCTCCCACACCTCACCTCAAAGTGCTATCTTCCACCTCCTCACAGAATTTGATATCTGGTACAATGAGTCCTTTGTCATCCCTGAGGATATGCAGGTAGCACTGAAGCTGGGCAGCAGTATCCGGCCAGGCATGGTGCCTGTCAGCAGGATTGTGTCTCTGGTGAGTACACAGCGTAGGGGCATGGTATGGCAATGACCGAACTGGGGAATGGCAGTGTCTGTACTCTCTGTGAATGTCAGTATGCAGGGCTCTATAGCTTCTTTCATGGCTGTCCCAGACAGGAGGCAGAGAGGTCTCTTCTCAGTTATTGAGGGATGGGGACAGAAAGAAACACCATTGTTTTTTTTTTATTTTTTAAATTTTTTATTTAAAAATATTTTTGTAGTTGTAGATGGACAGAATATATTTGTTTTGTTTATTTATTTTTTTATGTGGTGCTAAGGATCAAACCCAGTGCCTCACGCATGCTAGGCATGTGCTCTGCTACTGAGCTCCAGCTCCAGCCCAGAAACACCATTCTTATTACTGCCCTCTGGGGCGACTCATCCTGCCCAGGTGGCAGTTACAGGGGGTCTGTGAGGATGCTACAGGATTGTGAGATTCCTGGGTGGGGCTTTCAAACCCAGAAAGGGGACTCTCTTGATACCTACCACAGGCCCTGCCTGGGATGATTCTGACAATGCCAGGCTGAAGGAACTCTACTATATTGGGCCTCCTCCAGGGAGAAGATGACCAGGACAAATTTGCTCAGCTTCAGCAGACAGTGCTACCTGAGGGACCTGATGCCATCTCCTTCTACAATGCCAAAATCAAGACAGAACAGAAGGTAACATGTCTGTAGGAAGGGTGGGGGGTCTTCAGGGACCTCATTACTAGGGCACCCAAAATCACACTTCCTACTTTAGAGCTTCAGGGGAGGAATGGTGCCTACCCAGAGAGATCAGAGTTGCTCTCAGTCAAGAGTGTCTTCTGAAGCTGAAGACAGGGACAGGGCTAGACCATAGAAGGGTCCCACATACCATTGCCAGGCCTGGACATGGCTGAGCCATCCTGTGGGTGGTTCACAACTGAAGACAAGATCCAGGGATCCCCTGAGGCCACTCCCCTGAAGACCTCTCCAAGGGCAGGCCACTCTGTGCAAGTGGCAGAGGACAGAAGATCACACTCAGCCAATGCACAGATAGACATGGTCTCAGCCTTAGGTTGGGCCTGTGACTCTTCTTCCTGAGCAGGTTGGGCTGGAGCAGAGGATCTCCACTCTTCCAAGGCCCAGCCTCAAGCCAGAATGCCATGTACCCTTCTATGTCCAGAGGCAATTTGTATACATTGTGGCAGATGCACATGGGATCCCTACCCAAATGAGAACATTCTTTATATTTTTACAAACCAGGAGGCTGATCACTTGAGCCCAGGGATTCAAGGTCTGTATGGTCAACATAGCAAGACCCTGTCAAAAACAACAACAACAACAACAACAACAAAAAACCACAATATTTTTTATAGTTATTTATTTACGTTTTAATAGGTGATTCATTTGGGTGTTTTAAACTTTAAAAAAGCATAGGTGGGGGGTTGAGATTGTGGCTCAGTGGTAGAGCACTTGCCTCTCACACGTGAGCACTGGATTCAATTCTCAGCACCACATAAAAATAAATAAATAAGATAAAGATATTGTGTCTGTCTACAACTAAAAAAAAAAAAATATGGGTTGGAGGAGCTGGGCGCAGAGGCGCATGCCTGTAATCCCAGCATTTTGGGAGACTGAGACAGGAAGATCAAGAGGTCAAAGCCGGTCTCAGCAAAAGTGAGGCTCTAAGCAACTCAGTGAGACCCTGTCTCTAAATAAAATACAAAATGGGGCTGGGAATGTGGCTCAGTGGGTAAGCACTCCTGAGTTCAATCCCCAGTACCGAAAATGAAAAACAAGCATGGGGGTGCAGCTCAGTGGTAGAACACTTGCCTGGAAGTGCAAGGATGTGGGTTCAATTCCTAGCCCTGCAAAAAAATAATAATAATAGTAATAATTTTTAGCTGGATGTAGTGGTACATGCCAGCTACTTGGGAGACTGAGGAAGGAGGATCCCAAGTTTCGGGCCACCTTGGCAACTTAGTGAGACCCTGTCTCAAAATAAAAATAAATGTGAATGAGTGGTTAAGCACCCCTGGGTTTAATCCCCAATACTTCAAAAATTAAAAAATTTTAAAAATAAAAAATAATAATTAAAATAAAATAAAAACAGAAAGGGCCTGGAGTAGCTCAGTGGTAGGGCATTTGCCTAACATGCATGAATTCAATCCCCAGTACTGGAAAACAAACAAACAAAAACATGAAAATACAAGCACATCTTTTAAACTCCCATTGACTCTCTGACAGGAGAAACTTGCTTTTCCTATTTAGCAATACAAAAAAAAAGATCATTCCAGGTCAACCTATGAGGATGTATCAAATATTTTCTTTTAGTACTGGGATTTAACCCATGGGCATTCTACCATTGAGCTACATCTCCAATCCTTTTTATTTTTTGTTCAGACACAGTGTCTTACCAAGTTGCTGAGATTGGCCTTGAGCTTGCCGAGTCTGGTCTCAGCCTCTAAGTGACTGGGATTACAGGCATGTGCCACCGCGGCCAGCCTCAAAAGGTTTAACCCAACTCATATTAATGAACATTTAAGAGTTTACAGTTCTTTTTTTAATTTTTTTTTCACTTTATGGTGCTGGCAATTAAACCCAGGCCCTCTTTTTATTTTGTTTGTGATACTCTTTACTAATACAAGTATAGCTGAGCTCTTACAAATGTGGGTTTACACATATGTATGACTATACATGAAAAGCAATTTTGTAGAAGTGAATTTCTTGGTTAAAAGGTCATTTGTATTTTTGATGGGTCTGCCAAAATGCCTGCCTAGAGTTAAACCTCTCTGTACCCTTACATCAGCCTATAGGATGCTCACAATAAATGGTATACTATTTTTGCATTGTTTTCCAATCTGAAGGGTGAAAATTTTTCTCAGTGTTGCTTTGTGTTTCTTTTACTATAAGCGAATCTCTTTTAATGTTGAAGCACCATTTTGATTTTTTTAAATTTTTTTTTGCAAACTAATCACATTTTTGCTTGTTTTTCTTTTATTTATTTATTTTTTGCAATACTGGGGATTGAACTCAGGGTTTCACACATACTAGGTAAGCACTCTACCACTAAGCTACATCCCCAGCCCCTTTTGCTTGTTTTTCTATTGGTTGTAAGGTTTCTATTTATTCTTTTTTTTTAAAGCATGATAGTTGTACACAGTAGTTGGGTTTATTTTGACAATCATACCTGTATGGATTTTGATTATTGCATTCTAATTCCCATTCCCTGACCCTTCCCTCCCTTTTTTCCTCCTCCTTGTTTCCTTCCTGTACTCTACTGATCTTCCTTTAATCTTTAAGGTTTTAGAGTACTGGGGATTACACTCAGGAACACCTGACCACTAAGTCACATCCCCAGCCCTATAGTTGTTTAGCACCTCACTTTTGCTGAGGCTGGCTTTGAACCTGTGATCCTCCTGCCTCAGCCTCCCAAGATGTTGGGATTACAAGCTTATGCCACCATGCCAAGCTGTTTAGTTATTTTTTCTTTTTTAAAAAGAGAAAGAGAAAGAGAGAGAGAGAGAGAGAGAGAATTTTAATATTTATTTTTTAGTTTTTGGTGGACATCTTTTTTGTATGTGGTGCTGAGGATCGAACCCAGGCCACACGCATGCAAGGCAAGCGTGCTACCGCTTGAGCCACATCCCCAGGCCCCTGTTTAGTTATTTTTGATTGGTGCTTTCTACATATACATAAAGGTGGAATTACTGTGGTATATTTATATATGTAAATAACATGATTTTTGTTAAATCCATTCTATATTTTCTCCTTTCCTGTCCCTCCTCCCTCCATATGTCTTCCTATAACTCTACTGATATTCCCTATATTGTTATGATATCTGATCCCACTCCCTCCTCTTTTTTTCCCTTATTTTACTCTAGCTTCCACATAGGAGAGAAAACATTTAACCCTTGATTTTCTGATTCTAGCTTATTTCACTTAGAATGCCATTCTTCATTTTCATCCATTTATCAGCAGATGCTATAAACTTTATTCTTTTATTTCTTAATTGTAGGAATTTGTTATATATTAGATTAATTATATTTTTTTGTATGAATTGCAACTACTTTTTTCTATTTGTTGTTTGTCTTTTGACTTTACTTTTTTGTTATTTTTTATTGATTTTATTACATTGAGCATCTTATTTGAGCTGCCATAAAAAAATATATTACACTGGGTAATTTATAAAAAAGCCAGAAATTGTTCACAGATCTTAGGCTAAGAAGCCCAAGATCAAGGGTTCAGCAGTCTAAGTGTCTGGTGAGGGCTCTCTGCTTAAAGATGGCACCTTCTAGTGTGTGGCAACTTACATGGTAGAAAGGCAAAGGTCTAACAAACTCTCTCAGGCCTCTTAAAAGGGCACTAATCCCATCCATAAGATCAGCGTCTCCATGACTTAATCCCCTCCCAAAGGCTTCACCTCTTAATACCATCACCATGGTAGTTATATTTCAACACATGAATTTTGGAGTGACACCAACATTCAGCTCATAGCACAAGTTTTGTCTTTCTTAGCTTCTGGATTTGGTAGCTTGACTAGAAAGCCCTTCCTCCAATTGAGTTCATTCTTTCCATTAAGGTGACATCTTCACTGATGACTATGAGGAGCTGAAGCCCATTCAAAGAGGATTGAGTAAATGGGGGTTGTTATATGAAGGTCCCCCAGAGCTGCAATTCTCATCCTGTGTCATATACACAAATAACAGGGATTTTGTTAGGATGCAGGTTCTGATATAGTAAGTCCAGAATGGGACTTGAAATTCTGCATTTCTAATAAATTCTCAGATGATGCCCAGGATGCTAGACTAGGGCCACACTTTGAGTAGCATTCTTAGAGGGTCTGTCTTAGGATCTGCCTTTGTTAGGTTGCAGATGTTCTCTTCTGTTCTTAGTTCATTGAGTATTTTTTTTTCATCATGATTGGATATTGGGGTCATATTTTTTTGCATACTGCCTTCCTTTTCTCTCCATTAGATATATTTTAGGCATTCTCATTCTGTCCTCTCTCTCTCTTAAAAATCTCTCTTGTTTCTTCTAGCTCCTCATCTCTCTATGCTGTAATTGGGTAACTTCTTTAGATTCCTGTTCCAGTTTATTAATACCCTTCTCAGCTGTGTCTAATCAGCTATGTCTAAAAATTCTATTTGATTCTCCTTCAAATATACTTGGTCATGTGTTATAAACTCATTTCTTTTTTTTAAATTCTTTTTTTTTTTTTTTGGGTAGTTGTAGATGGACGGAATGCCTTTATTTATTTATTTTTTATGTGGTTCTAAGGATCAAACCCAGTGCCTCACACATGCCAGGCAAGCGCTTTGCCACTGAGCTATAGCCCCAGCCCACACCTTATTTCTTGCTCTTTAAAAATAATAACTTTTTTGATATATAATACCATATATTTCACCCTCAAAATTGTACAACTCAGTAGTTTTTAGTATCTTCACAAATATGTGCAACCACAGTGAATTTCAGAACATATCATGCTCTGCTTTTTCTTAACTCATAAATGTTTCAGTGTTCATGTCTTAAACAAGGACATTCTCTTAAATTATAATGATGTAATAATCAAAATCAGGAAAATAAACAGTAAAGCAATAATATTATTTAATCCAAAACCCATACTCAACTTTTTTGTGATACTGAAGGTTGAACCCAGAGCTTCACATATGTGAGGCAGACGCTCTCTATCTCTGAGTTATACCCCCAACCCTTTTATTTCGAGATAGAATCTCACTAAGTTGCCCAGGCTGGCCTCAACTTACAACCCTACTATCACAGCTTCCCAAGTAGCCAGGACTACAGATATATTTCACCACACTTGGCTATTTTTAATTTTTGACTATTCCAAAAATGTCCTTGACAACTATTCTCCCCTCTTCCTTTGGTCCAAGATCCAATCTAAGATTACATATTACATTTTGTTGCAATGTCTTCTCAAATCTAGAACAATTCCCCAGTCTTTCCTTCTATTTCATTATCTTGATATTTTTGAAAAATACAGGCCAGTGTTTGGTAAAATGTATCTCAACTTCAGTTATGTATTTTCAGCAAGTGTTAACAAAAATTATGTTTTTCTTGGTATATTGTATCAGGAGGCACATGAATTTGCTTTGTTCCATGACTTACTATTTTAGAATCTGCATCCTAATAAGACCCCTGTTATTTGGGTATATGACATAGGATATCCTGAGAATTGCAGCTCTGGGGGACCTCCATATAACAACCCCCATTTACTCAATCCTCTTTGAGCTTCAGCTCCTCATAGTCATCAGTGAAGATGTCACCTTAATGGAGAGAATGAACTGAACTGGAGGAAGGGCTTTCTAGTCAAGCTACCAAATCCAGAAGCTAAGAAAGACAAAATTTGTGCTATGAGCTGAATGTTGGTGTCACTCCAAAATTCATGTATTGAAATATAACTACCATGATGATGGTATTAAGAGGTGAAGCCTTTGGGAGGGGATTAAGTCATGGTGACTAATTTTGGTCAACTGGTTGAGGTCATCCTGAATATATAAGAGGATAATATATCAATGACTTTGGAGAAAGAGCTTCAAAAATTTTATTGCTTTATGTAAAATTAACTTTCTTTAACTAGCATAAGTTATTTCAAGATCATAGAAAATATGAATAAAAACAATTTGCATGAGTTTCTCTCTTGATATCGTAGATAAATTTTGCATTTTCTTTTTTTTTTGGTGGGGAGGGGACACTTTTATGTTTGTTTGTTTGTTTTGGGTACTGGGGATTTAACTGAGGCGTTCTACCACTAAGCTACATCCCCAGCTCTTTTTAAAATTTCTTTCTTTCCTTCTTTCTTTCTCGTCTTGTCTCGTCTCGTCTCTTCTCTTTTCTTTTCTTACCAGGGATTGAACTCAGGAACACTTGACCACTGAGCCACATCCCCAGCCCTATTTTGTATTTTATTTAGAGACAGGGTCTCACTGAGTTGTTTAGCCCCTCACCGTTGCTGAGGCTGGTATGAGCCACCACACCTTGCTCATTTTTTATTTTTTATTTTGAGGCAGGGTCTTGCTAAGTTGCTGAAGCTGGCTTTGAACTTTTGATCCTCTGCCTCAGCTTCCTGAGTTGCTGGGATTACAGGAATGCACCACCGTGCCCAGCTCAAACATTGCTCTTTTATTATTTTCTTTCAAACTTTCAAAAAAAATTAAATTCTAAATCATTAAATAGAGGAACCATGTGTTTCTACAGGTCAAACTTCTATTCCACTATCTCTAGGAGAACTCTTCGTATTGGCCATTTTTATGTAACTGAACCAGTTATACTGCATATATATATAGTTATATAGTTATGTAGTAAATATAGCTATATAGTAACTATATAGTTTTATAAATATAGTAACTATACTATAGTTACACTATATATAGTATATATAGTAACTATAACAGTTAAATATACATAGTAATTATAATTATACTTACTATCTATGTTTATAGTTACTATATATGACTATATTTAACTATATAACTATATATAGTTACTATAAGTAACTATAGCTACTATATATATAGTTATAGTTACTATATATAGTTATAATTACTATATAATAACTCCATATATAGTATAGTAACTCTATGTAGTGTATAGTTACACTATATATATGTGTGTGTATATATTCAACATACACACACATACACATGAGATCAGATTTTTTTCAGGATCAAAATTTGTTTCCTGCTTTACTGAGTTTCCTCCATAATTGTGTGTGTGTGTGTGTGTGTGTGTTTAAATCTTGAGTTCACTGCAAGTTCAAGGCCAGTCTCAGCACCTTAATGAGACCCTAAGCAATTTTGTGAGACTCTGTCTCAAAATAAAAAAAATCGAAAGGGATATAGCTCAGTGGTAAGATGCCCCTGGATTTATCACCAGTACCAATAAACAAACAAACACATAAATAAATAAGTCACCAGTACCAATAAATAAGTAATAAATCATGAGTTAATGTTTTATTGCTTAAGCTCTAGGAGTCCAGAGCACATATGTCGAAATTCTGAAAGGGTTTGTTCTTGTTTCTTGCGATTAGCAAGGGACCATCACCAGCCCAGGACATTTTAACCCCATCAAGAATCTAGCATTGTGGGTTCATTCTTCTGCCTTGTGCGGGAACTTAGGATTTGGCTCCATATTCCAAGCTGGTTTTAACATGTACTTACTAACTGCCCACTCTTTCTGTTTCAGCTCATTTTTCCCACCTGCTTTCTAAAAGCAGAGCAATGCAATAAAAGAGTAGAATATGTGAACATTTATGTGATTGCAGTTATAGAGGGAAGGCCTTTCAGAGTTCCTTGACATTGACTCCTCTAGAGACAGAATCCTCTTTTCCTTTTGAACCATTCTGTTAAAAAAAAAAACTTTCAAATAGGTCCCTGAAACTTTGTATCAGGGATTGAACTCAGGGGCACTCAACCACTGAGCCACATCCCCAGCCCTATTTTGTATTTTATTTAGAGACGGGCTTTCACTGAGTTTGCTTAGCAAGCCTTGCCGTTGCTGAGGCTGGTTTTGAACTCTTGATTCTCCTACCTCAGCCTCCCAAGCCGCTGGGATTATAGGCATGCACCACCGCACCCAGCACCTGCAGATCATTTTTTTTAGTTGTAGTTGGACACAACACCTTTATTTCACTTATTTTTGTATGTGGTGCTGAGGATCGAACCCAGGGTCTTGCACGTGCAAGGCGAGCGCTCTACCGCTGAGCCACAACCCTAGCCCTCCTGCAGATCATTTTAATGCAATTTTACATATTTTCTTTAGGATGAAAGAATGAAAGTGTTTGAATGTAATTTCTCATAAAATTCGTGCTATTCATAGGGAATCCTTATCCAGAAACAGTGAAGTTTGCAGGAAGAATGATGAGGTGAATGTGAGTGACATAGTTTTAGAATCCCTGTTAAGTCCACACCTCCTGATTTCCTGTTTTCTTTTTTCTTTGTCCAGCATAATTACTTGAAAACCATAATGGGCCTCCAGCAGACACATAAAAAGTAGTCTTGTTGCCAGTAGCTTGAAGTTCCTTCAATTCCAACCTGCTTTAGTGGAGCTGCAAAACCATCTTCTGAGAGCTTCAACCACTTTGCTCCAAGTCTGTGACCCACCACAGAGAACACATAATGGCCTGCCTACTAGGAAGGGTATCGTCCAAAGGACAACCTGCTCAGTTCCACAGAACCCTTTGGGTTTTAATTTACTGTCTTATATGCAGGAACAGGATAAAATTACTTTCTAGTTTGGACTTCTAATATTCATTGAAGAAATTTGTTTTATTTCCTGTGTGAAAGGATATCTTCCCTCTGTACAGGTGGGCTTGGAACTGAGTGTACAGTAGGAAAGCAAAAACATAGCTCAGCCAGTTTCCTCCTAGTGGGATTTATCCCTCTGGTTAGCCCCTTTCCTTTACTGGATGGAGATCCTGGGGCAAGCTTGACCTTGGTCTCATAGTTCCCTTAGACCATAAGTTCTATAAGGGCATCTTTTCTATGTTGTTGAGCCAGTGGATGCAGGGGGAGACCCTCCTTCCTTGGCAACCAGGAGAGAACCTATTCTAGCCAGTGGTCCCAGGAAGGAATGAGGCAGATCTTGGTCCATGTGACTGTAAGTGAGTGAACAGCTTCTGGGAGACATGCCCTTGGTGTTACCAGCACATGTGTGGGCTAGGTGTCAAGGTCTCTCTCTGTCCCCCTGTGACCCAGATAAATACAAGTAAAAGTGGCCAGGATTCCTTGGAGAGAAACAGGGGTCATCACACTGGCAGGGCTGAATAGGAAAGAAAAGACATTACTGTCCAGTCCAGTTCTCAGGTATGGCTGGTGCCCCTCATTATATTTCCAAAGAGTGCTTTGCTCAGAGGAAAAATTGAGACTCAGGGAGTCTCAGGGCTTCCAGGATGGCTGATGCACCTCTGGGCTGGGAAATTCTCCATGGAATAAGAAGTTTTAGTTTCTTGGAATCTTTCCTCTTACATCCACTTCTGTTCTTGTGGCTCAAGGGCTCAGCATTGAGTATACTCTGTGAGTGCTTCCTGAATACCCCTTGGTGCTGCTATGACTGGGGCCAACAATGGGAGAGGAGGATCTGGTCACCTGTGAGGACATGAGAGATAATGTCTGGTGGGTGGTATCTGGCTCTAGGGCCACTTTTTATGAGGAAAGAAGGAATGAACCGAGTCTTCTTACCTGAAAAAGAGAAATGTGACAGCATCCTAGGGGGTGTGCCAGGTAGAAGGGAAGCAAGGGGATTTGATTTGTGTGGTCCCCAAATGTAGAATGGAGGCATAGGAGCAGACATTTCACCAAAAGGTAGAAATGGCTGAAAGGCAGATTGTCATCTCAAGAAGAGGCTTAAAGTGACAGCAGTCCTGGCATGACGTGAAAGCCCACAGTAGTGGGCTATCTGGCAAGGGGGCTGTTTGTGGTGGGAGGTTCAGCTGAATGGCATCTACCGTCTGACCCTACCATTCTGCACTTCAGTCCATCCAGCAATGGATGTGGGTTTTGTTAAAGAGAAAGCAGAAAGTCTTTCTTTGAGATCCCTGCACTCTTTCCCACTCACTTTCTCTTTCACTGAAGGATAATGAGTCCTGAAAAAGGTTTCAGAGATTCTGGGCAGAGGATTCTAATTCCTTCCCTTCCTGGCTGTCCTTACCATTACAAGGACTTGTTTGGGGTTTCTAGATCTTTGGGGGCTTCTCAGGAAATTGGACACAGTAAAAAGGGGATATATCTTGTTGGGGCCATGGGAAGCAGATGTTTGTGGTATTTCTGATCTCTCTTCCCTTCACTTCCCATAAGTGGATGGAATGGCCTGGTCCTGCTAGACCTCCTGTCCACCAGAACCCTTGGACAGCCATCCCTGAAGTTCTTTGGCCAGGTCAGTTTGGGTCTTTGCAATGGCAGTTGATCCTGGATGGTGAAACATTTGTTTCTAATTCTTTTGTTTATCACATAGGCCTCTTTGGTCAGTACTGGCACAACTGAAGCAAATAATCATCAGGGCAGGCACAGTCATAGGAATAAAATTGATGGTACCCAGTAGATTACCATCCTAAAAACTCTCTAGAGAAGCCAATGCTTACAATATGACAAGAAGGTGGGGGGCATTATGTGAATGAAATGGGCCTGTCACATGGGCATATCATTCCAGAAAATAGTTCCTCCTAAGTTCATATGACCATCCAAATCAACTGTGATTTCCAGTTCTATCAATGAGATACCTGAGATAACTTGAACATATTTCTTCTGCAAACAGAGAGGCTGGCTAAAATATAACATTTTTTTGAAATGCAAAATTAATTTGTAGTAAAGAAGGAACTGCCAGGAGCCGGAAAAAGGAAACTGAAAACTAAAATGGTAAGGACTGGGATAAAGTGTGTGAATGGATTGTTGGGACTTGAGAATTAATGTCCAAGCAAGTATGAGAAATAAGACATTGATCCATGCCAGATAGGAAGTTGGAAATCAGACTCCCTGCATAAAGATGGTACCCTAAAGATTTCATCCTTATGAAGAGTTAAGCTATAAAAAGTTCCCTCACTGGTACAGAGAAAAAGGAATTTTTACAGAAATGCAAGGGAACAAGTTCCGTGAGAGTATGCAACCATGATTTGAGATTCAAACTTACACTGTGTGGGCCACAAACCACCAGGCTGAGAAATTAGCATGAAAATTATCCCCAGGCTAGGGATAACCCTGAAATACTTAGAAGAACCAAATTAAAAAATCTACTGTATATGCCCTTTCCTGAGCCATTCCAACAGAAAAAGCTTGACTGTGGCATGGTGGTACACACCTGTAATCCCAGATACTTAGGAGGTTGAAGCAGAAAGATAACAACTTCCAGGTAAGCCTGGGATACTTGAAATAAAATTGGGCTTCTGGTATAGCTTAGTGGTAGAGTGCTTGGCTAGTATGCACAAAGCCCTGGGTCCAATCCCAGGAGTGAGGAATGAACATATGTGTATCAAAGCTTCAAAGAATAAACACACAGAGAAACAAACTACCATGTTGGAGGCACACTGAAAGTAGTGTCAGTCTTCATGTAAATTACTGGGAAAGATAATATATGTATGTATTAGATGTTTTAAATAAAGTAAAAAGAAAAAAGGCTAAAAAAATTCTGATTTTTTTTTTAAAAAGCAGAAATACTAAGAATGAAAAAATGGCCTATAAATTAAAATGACAAACTAGAAATAGTAAAAGAGAGAATTAGTATCCTGGAAGTTAGATATGAGGAAATTGCTGAGAAAGCAGCATAGTGGAAAATTGAAAGTGTGGATAAGAGATATAGGTGGACAGAGGGAGAAGATCCAGTATATAGTGGCAATAGACCACTCAGTGATCTCATCCAGTCTTATGGCTTTAAACATCTCTATTCCAACTCTAAATTTTATATATCTGGTCTAGACCACACTCCTAAACTCCAAATTTATATAGCCAACTGCTAACTTGATATTCCCACTTGAATGTGTAATGGACATCTACAAATCAGTGTGTCCAAACATGCATGAATGCCTGGGGTGTGGCTCAATGGTACTTTTTTAGAGTGGTACATTCTAGAGTACTTTTCTAGAATGCACAAGGTCTTGGATTTGATCCCTAGCACTGCAATAAATAATCCAGAATGCATAATTGTCCCCCTAAACATATTCTACCCATAAAACCCTTATCTCAGGTCAGTTACTTAGGCTAAAATCATAAATTTTGTACTTCACTTCCCTCTTTCTCTCACACTCCACATTGAATGTGTCAAGAAATTCAACAGACTTCACCTTGTTGCTACATTCAAAAGCTAACCACTTACCACTTCTGACCTACCTGATCTAGGCCTTTATCATCTCTTGCATCAGTTTCCTGTCTTCCAGCTTCCAGAGCAGCAGCCTGGTTGATCCTTTTGAAATATGTTAGATCACATCACACTTCTCAAACTTTTAATGACTCCCAATTTTAAAAAATTATTTTTTTAGTTATAGTTGGACACAATACCTTTTATTTATTTATTTTTATGTGGTGCTGAGGATTGAACCCAGGGCCTTGCACGTGCTAGATGTACCACTGAGCCACAACCCAGCCCCATGACTCCCTATTTCTGTCATGGTAAAAGCCATGTTCTTTTTTTTAAAAAGTATATTTTTTAGGCGGTGCTGAGGATCGAACTCAGGGCCTCACCCATGCTAGGCAAGCGCTCTACAGCTGAGCCACAACCCCAACCCCCACCCCCAGCCATGTTCTTAAAATAGCTCACAAAGCCCTACATTATCTTGCCTGCTATGACTCTCTGCCATCATCTTTTCTACTCTCCATCTTGCTCACTTTATTCCAGTCACATTGGCCTCCTCTCTGTTCCTCAGACTGCCAGGCAGCTTCTGCCTCAAGGCCTTTGCAATAGCTATTCTCTCTTCCTGAAACATTCTACCTCCAGATATCCATGTGACACAGTGTCTCACTTCAAGTGTTTGCCTACATGTCACCTTTTGTAGCAGATGCGATCATGCCTTGACCACAATCCCTTACATTTGCCATGTCTGCTAAAGGTTTCCTACTGAAAGCATCTACAATTTTCTATAAGAAGGTTTTCTAAACATGAGTGCTCACTTGCTTCAGGGTAGGCCCAAATATCAGGAAGTTAACACCGTTAGGAGCACCCTTCAACTACTAACCCTTGCTTAGGAGTCAATGGAGGAGTCCCCCTACCTCCTATCCCCTTGGGTGGGCCAACTCTGAGGCATTTCTCCAGTATTTCCCAGGACTTTACAGTATAAATCCAAACTCACACACAAATAGAGCCAAAGGAAAAAAAATAGTTGATATATTGTTAGTAGGATTGTCAAGGAAATAACATCTTAAAATACTTAAAAATAGTCATTTTAAAATGTTAAATATCATTAATAATATATTTCATAATCATACAATGAAAAGGATAAGGTTGACAGAGTATGGCACCCAAGGTTTCTTTCTAAAGGTCTGATGTTCAAGGTGACATGAATTCTGGAGAGATTTCCCTCTGTTCTACTATCTAAAACTCTCGAGATATTAAGGTGGGACATGAATTCTGGAGAGCCCCTCTCTGTTCCACTGTCTTTAATCTAAAGGGCTCAGATAACTCTGTTGCTATTTCTTCCATCATCAAATGGAGGTTCCAACCCACCAGCTGGACCTAGAGAGTATTACTGTGAACTTGACTTGTAGTCATTGTACCATAATTTTCTGAAGCATTACAAAATTGGGGTAGAGCATGGGCTTTGGGACAAAGACATTGGAGTTTAGATAGGGACTCTATATCTTACATGGGACCTTGGGTGAGTTGTCCAAATTCTCTGCCTAATTTCTGGTAAAAAAATCATGGGGCTGGGCAATGGTGGTGCACACCTGGGATCCTAGCAGCTTGGGGGCGCTGGGGTTGTGGCTCAGTGGTAGAGCGCTTGCCTAGCATGGGCGAGGTCTTGGGTTTGATCCCCAGCACCACATAAAATAAATTAATTAAAGATATTTTAAAACAGTCTTAGCAGCTCGGGAGGCTGAGGCAGGAGGATAGAGAGTTCAAAGCCAGCCTCAGCAAAAGTGAGGTGCTAAGCAACTCAGTAAGACCCCCTGTCTCTAAATATAATACAAAATAGGGACTGGGGATATGGCTTAATGATTGAGTGCCCTGAGTTCAATCCTTGGTACCCGCCCCCCCCCCAAAAAAAAAAGCATGGGGCTCTGTGAAGTGAAGGAATTAATTTACATCAAATTCATAGTGGGTCTCCTCAACCAACTGTAATAGCCATGACAGTAACAATAACAAAATGCGAATGAGGGCTGGGGCTGGGGCTCCAGCGGTAGAGTGCTCACCTAGCATGTGTGAGGCCCTGGGTTCAATCCTCAGCACCACATGAAAATAAATAAATAAAATAAAGGTATAAAAAAAGAAAAGAAAATGTGAATGTGCCCAGCATTAATGTCAGATAGGTGGTGAGCTCAAATGCATACAACACACATCACCTAAATCAATATTCAGCTTCAATTTCCACCTCACCAAATGGATTTGGGACCTGGAAAGGCAGCATTTGGGCTGACATTATCTCTTTCCAATTAATGCTCACTGTGATGACTCTTTAGGACCAAAAGGTAACTTTAATAGAGTGAAGTAGCTGTTAAAAATGTGCTCAGTGCTATCCTGGACAGTGTTAATAGTTGTCCTGGATCAGGGAAGCAATAGTTCACTTTTCTGGTTACACTTAGAATGTCCTAACAGGGTGTGGAGGCAATGTGGACACATACTCCAGGGGAAGGTGACCCTGCAGCACAGGAGGCTCTGAAAACTGTCTAGCAAGGAATATTCACAGAAACTAGGGACATTCGATCTGAGATGAAAAATCCAAAGGGTTTTTTTTGTCATTTCAGGAGAAAAAAATGGGAGTTTTCCAACCCTGGAATAGATGGTCTTGCAGCAAACTGGGCTCCCAGATTCTGGAGGATGCAACTTGTGTCTTGGCAGCCCCAGTCAAAGCTCATGAAAGAGGAACTCTCAAACCAGGAGGAAAGGGCTTGAATGCCTCTATGTTCCTTCAAAATCTAAATTTTGTGATTCTGTATATGTGTTTCTAAAGTCTGACATAAAACCAGGATCTACTAAACTATTGAGGGACATTAGCGAGAGGGATATTATGGTGCTTAGTTGTTTGCAATTCTTTCAATCTTTTCATCTGAACTTTGTGACCATCTGTTTGGCCATTCTAATATTAGTAAAGATGTCTAATTAGCCATAATAGGGTTCATGGTCTCCAGCCAATGCCACTCTCCTAAAAAAGTACCGGTGGCAAGAGAAGGGTTAAGATGTTCAGCCATCCTGTGATCCTGGGCATTTGGGCTTCTAGATCAATTCCCTCTCCCCATCACTCACCTATACACATACATATAATTAAAAAAGAATTCAAGGGCATGTTCTTACACCAAACCTTATCTGAAGATTGGACTCTGAATACAGAAAAAAAAAAAAAAAAAACACGTGTTGTGTGTATGCACAAGAAAAAAAAAAAAGCAAAGAAAAAGGGAAGGAGACCCATGCTTTGCGTATAACTCCCATGCTGTGATTTCCCCCTGTGCACACTAATTTGTATACCTTTTTCCATATTTTAAAAAAAGGTGCATTTTTGAGCTCTGACAGCTGTTCTTAACCCTGGTATACATATCATAATCATGCAAGTTGCTTTTGTAAGATCCTCATGCCTCAGCCACATCCTAGACCAATTAAACCTGGGACCTGGGCATCAATGTTTTTTAGAGCTTCCCTAGTGGCTCTAATGGGCAGACTGAACTGAGATCCCCTGGTAGAAGAAGACCTAGACATTTGTTTGTTTCATGAATTAATATGATTATGCTAATTAATCTTAAATACACATCACATTTCTCTCAGAAACAAGCACAGAAATTTCTCTACTGATAAATGTTCAATTCACAAACTTCCATAGTTTGATTATGAAACTCTGAATATTCCTTGTTGATAACTGAGCACTTGAATGCTTTACACACTCCATAGTTGATTCTTTCAGTCAAGACTGAGAGACATTGTTATAAGTGTTCAATAAACATTTAGAAGAATGGGTGTAGGTGATTGGATGTGGCACAGTGGGAGTTCTTTATTTAAAAGGTTCATGGACCTTTATTTTTTATTTTTCTTTTAATATTTTATTAGCTATAGATGCAACCCCAGCACAGTGGGGATTCTTTTTTTTTTTTTTAGTTGTAGATGGACACAATACCTTTATTTTATTTATTTATTTTTATGTGGTACTGAGGATCGAACCCCATGCCTCGCATATGCTAGGAAAGTACTCTACCTGAGCTACAACCCCAGTACCAGTTGGGGTTCTTAACCTAGGTAATATTGACATTTTAAGTCACTTAATTGTTGTTGGGGCTGTCCAGTATAATGTAGGACACTTAACAGTTCTTCTGACCTTTATCTCAAAGATGCCAGTAACATCCCCCATTATGATACCCTAACAGTGTCTCCAGACATTTTTATATGGCCCCTGGGTGCTATAAGTGCCCCATGGTTGAGAACCCCTTGAGTAGATTAATGAATGGGTACACAGATGAATGAATGCATGCATGCATGCATGCATGCATGGATAGATACATGGATGGATGGGTGAATGAAAGGGTAGATGGATGAATGATCAGGACTCATAAACCTAAATGCATGTCTTTGTTTTTGAAGGTTTGACTCCGAAAACATTCTTTCCTCTTTGTCCATAAAGTACCATAGGAAAGCAAATATTTGGCACATCAAGTAATTGGAAGAATACCAAAGGACTGAATTTGAAGTTTCAGACATTGATATCATTTGCCAATGTAAAACTAAATTCTAAAGCTGATCCAGGAAAAGACTTGTTAAATATAGCTGACCTAAAATAAAACTGTTTATGAGGGAAAAGTGAACATGGTAAACTGTTCTGTCTAAAAATTAACAAATAAAATCTTTATCACAACACCAAGATATAATAAAATTATGACCTGAGATAATGAATTTTTTTAAGTGGTAGGGATCAAATCCAGGATCTTGTGCATGCTAGGTAAGTGCTCTCTATCACTGAGCTCACTCCCAGCCCTTTTTTTATTTTGAAATAGGGTCTCATTAAACTGTCCAGTCTGACCTCAGTATTCTCAGTAGCTAGAGTTATAGGCATGCACTGAGGCTAGCAAAAAACTAGACTTCAGGGCTAGGGATGTGGCTCAAGCGGTAGTGCGCTCGCCTGGCATGCGTGCGGCCCGGGTTCGATCCTCAGCACCACATACAAAGGAATGTTGTGTCTGCCAATAACTAAAAGATAAATATTTTAAAAAAATTCTCTCTCTCTCTCCTCTCTCTTAAAAAAAACAAAAAAAAAACGACTTCATAGAGATAAAGGATACAAAGTAAAATTTGTGTTGACAAAATCTATAATTAGTTACTTTAAAAAAAAAATTTTTTTTTTCTTTCCTTTTTTGGTACTGATAGAACCCAGGACCTTGGACCTGCTAGGTAAGCACTCTACCACCAAGCTACATCCTCAACCTAAGATTCCAATATTTAAATATCTAAAAATTGCTAATAAAAATAACTTCAAGGGGCTGGGGTTGTGGCTCAGTGGTAGAGCACTCACCTAGCATGTGCGAGGCCCTGGGTTCGATCCTCAGTACCACACAAAAATAAAGATATTGTGTCCAACTACAATTAAAAAATAAATATTTTTAAAAAATAACTTCAATAAAATCATTTTAAAATACTTTTTTAAAATATTATTTTTAAATATTTCTTTCTTTTTATCCCCCCCCACCCACCATATTGGAGATTGAACCCACTGGTGTTTTACCACTGAGCTACATCCCAGCCATTTTTTTCTTTTTTAATATATTGAAGTTGTAGATGGTCACAATAACTTTATTTATCTTTATGTGGATAGAACCCAGGGCCTCACACATGCTAGGTGAGTGCTCTACCACTGAGCCACAACCTCAGCTCCATCCCAGCCATTTTTATTTTGAAGCAGGATCTCCCTAAGTTGCTTAGGACCTCACTTACTTGCTTAGGCTGGCTTGGAACTTGTAATCCTCCTGCCTCAGCCTCCATAATCACTGGGATTATAGGCATGGAGTATGTCACTGAGCCCTACAAAATACATTTTATTTTTTATTTATTTTTTAAATAATTTTTTTTTTTTAGTTCTAGTTGGCCACCTTTATTTATTTATCTTTATGTGGTGCTGAGGATCGAATGTACCTTGCCCATGCTAGGTGAGCACTCTACCACTGAACCACAACCCCAGCCCACTAAATACATTTTAAATGAACATTTAAAATGTGTGGAAAATTTATGGAGGGATTAAACAAGTTTAATAAAGCCTGCTCAAGAAAATCATTTCTTGATTAAATTTATCATTGTTGCCTGGCACCGTGGCACATAATCCAAACAACACAGGAGGCTGAGGCAGTTGTTAGCAATTTATCTAGAGTAATTTAGCAAGACCCTGTCAAAAAAAAAAAAAAAAAAAAAAAGCTGAGGAGGACTCATGGTTAGGTATTCCTGGGTTCAATCCTTGGTACAACAACAACAAAAAATTATCATTGTTGGACGTGGGGAGTATAGCTCAGGTGTAGAGTGCTTGCCTACCATGAGATGCCCTGGCATCCATTCCCAACACCATACACACAATTTTCATAGTTCATATGAGCTGATTAAAATATTTTTATGGCTGGTAAAATACTAAAAATAACAATGGAATCAAAAGACAAAGTTTCTCTAGGTAAAATATAGCTACTTTCTAGATATATGTGGGCCCTATGTTCAGAAATAGCTGACTTTTTTTGTGGGTTGCTATTTTTCCAGTTGCTTAGGCTTTTCTTTTTTAACAAAAATACAGCTTACTTTAAATATAAAGATTTGCCAAGCACATGGCCCACGCCTGTAATCCCAGCAACTCTGAGGTAGTAGGATTGAAAGTTCAAGGCCTGTCTCAGCAATTTAGGGAAACTCTCAGCAACTTGGTGAGACCATGTCTCAAAAAAGGGACGAGGGTGTCTGGGTTCAATTCTTAATACTACTAGAATAAAATAAAGATATTTACAGAAGAAAAGTTTGCCCAACTGTACAGAAAAATTGTGAAAGACTTTGAAATAGAACAAAAGATTGGAGATTGGAAGTCTTTTTTTTTTTTTTAAATCCCAGTGCTCAGGGTGGAACCCAGGTCCTTCTGCAAGGGCTTTATCCCTGAAGCCTGGGTGGTATATAACAGATCCTTCCCAGCAAGATTGAGCTAAATTACAGCCCAGGAAACCATAGATAATAGGTAGAAATGCAAATGTCCTTATCAGTAGACATGCAAATTATGTTTTTCCATCCATCACTCCTGATAAAAAACATTTGTGGGGCTGGGGATGTAGCTCAAGCAGTAACTGTGCTTGCCTGGCATGTGCGGGGTGCTGGGTTCAATCCTCAGCACCACATAAAAATAAAATAAAGATGTTGTGTCCACCGAAAACTGAAAAATAAATATTAAAAAATTCTTTCTCTCTTAAAAAAAACACAACAACAAAAAACAGTATTTGTAGATCTATTTCAGTACTCCTGATCTTTATAAGTAAGATATTTTAAATTCTCCTTTGAACCTGTAAAATCTTATTGGCTCCCTCATTAATGAGTAGAATAAAATCTTTGACACATTTTCATTTTATATGACAATCATGATTATAACTTTGAAAAATTATCTTTTAACAACAGATAAATGGATATTATTTGTCGATAAATTGGCTCATGTTCTCTGGAGAACAATTAGGTAGTGTATCCCCAAAACCTTAAAAATATATATATTTGTATATACTTGATGTTAGGTTTGTTTGAGGTGGCTAAGGGAACAAAGCACCAGACAACCCACCTGAGAACAACCTATCATGTGCTGACAGTCAAGCAGTGATGGTCCTTCATAACCACTTGTCAATCAGCAGGGTCTCCTGACCAATCCTGGAAGGATATGGATCTCAGCAAGATCCCCCGACCAACCCCAGAAGGACAAGGGACTCTAAAAACCTCCCTTTCCTGTCTCAAGCCCTCCCTTCCCTGCCCTAAGCCCAATAAAATTCCATTCTGGCTGAGCCTGGGCCTGATTCCCCCCAGACCTGCTCTGTTGGACTGGAGGGCCTGCCCCGAGCGAATCTCAATAAAGCCTTGTTCAGCAGCTTTTAATCTGCCTCCTTTTGATCACTGTTGCCTGAATTTACACTTGACACAATATGTAGGATAAAATTTGGGAATATCTTTAATTTTTTTTTTTTTGCACCAGGAGCATTTTGCCACTGAGCTACATTCCTAGACCCCCTTTTTTATTGTCTTTTTTATTTATTTTTATGTGGTGCTGAGGATTGAACCCAGTGCCTCACACATGCAAGGCAAGCGCTCTGTCACTGAGCACAACCCTAGCCCCATCCTTTTTATTTTTTAAATGTTGAGACAAGGTCTTACATTGCTGAGGTTCTTCCTAAATTGCTGATAGTCTCACTGAGTTGCTGAAACTGGTCTTAAACTTGCAATCTTCCTGCCTCATCCTTCCCAGTCACTGGGATTATAGGCATGTGCCACCATATTTGGATAAATTTTTAAATTGTGTATACCAAAGATGTTTCATAAGCACTTTTGTTCAGATGCAAAACTTAACTATTATTTTTTAATTAAAAATTTGGGGGTTGGCTGGGGTTCTGGCTCAGTGGTAGAGTGCTTGCTGAGGGTTTGACTGTCAGCACCACATAAATAAAATAAAGGTATTGTGTTCATCTACAACTAAAAAATTATATATATAAAATTTGTGGGCTGGTGGCATAGCTCAGTTTTAGAGCATGTGCCTAGCAAGTATGAAGCCCTGGGTTTAGTCCCTAGAACACACACTACAAAATTTGATAGCCAAATTTTTTGTTTTGGTACCAGGGATTGAACCCAGAGGCTCTTTAATTTAATCACAACCACTGAGCCATATCTCCAGCCCTTTTATATTTTTTGAGACAGGGACTTTCTAAGTTACTTAGGGTTTTGCTAAATTGCTGAGGCTGGCTTTGAAGTTGTGGTCACTCCTGCCTCAGCCTCCAGAGCCGCCTGGATTACAGGTATGCACCACCATACCTAACAGTAGCCAAGTTTTAAGTTTAATATTTTATCTGGGCATTGTGGCATACACATTACTTTAGAGGCTGAGGCAGGAGTATCACTTGAGCCTATTACCAATCTGCAGGAGTATCACTTGAGCCTATTACCAATCTGTAGAGAGGTTCTTTTGCTCAATTCAGATAGAAATCGCAGATAGACAAAATGCACCTCCCTCAGTATTAGCAGCTCTTGGCTTTGAATGTGAGCAGCTTTCAGCTCTTAGTGTCAGGAGCCTTCCCTGCTCTTCTAGCAGTTGGAGCCAGCAACTACCAGCTATTCCAGAAGCTGGAACTAACAGCTTCCAGCAGCTCTCTGTTGCTCCCCATCATTCTATAGCTGCTAGCTGCCCTCAGTGTTACTAGCTTTAAGTGCAACCAGTTCAGTCTGTTCTACTCAAGATAGAAGACATGAATAGGCAACATTTTACCATCCAAAAGAGGCTTTATTAGGTCTCATGCTGCAGCATAAGGGGAAGCAGTATACAGACTGTTCTAATAAGAGTATGGGAATGGGTAATGTAGACAAAAAAAAAAAAAAGGTGAATTTATGCAAACACAGTATCCTGCCAGCTAACCCCAAGCTTTCTCTTCAGTCATGGGGAGGGGAGGGACTCTTTGCTAACTGGATTGGGTATAGCTGAAATGACTGCAGTGGGGTGGAGTTGTCCAGAGAGACTATGGGGCAGAGTCATTTGGCATAGACTCATCACTCAAGCTGCCTCAGTCAAAGCAAAAAATCTAGTGACTGAGGAGTTTGGGGCAGCCACAGC